ACAAGTGCTTAACCACTGCACCCTCAGAGCTGCTTCCTTAAAAGGTTACATGCATATAATTCCATTTATGTGACATTCTCGAAGGCAACAGTGATGGTGGTGAATCAGCGATTGCCTGGGGTTATGGGCAGAAGTTAAGGTGTTGTTACGAAGGGGAGGGAGCACCAAGGAGTTTTTGGGTGATGGGGCTGTTACATGTCCTGGTTTGGGTGGTGGTGGTCACACTAATCTACATATGTGTTGAAATTCATAAGAAAGTACATCCCAAAAGATCAATTTTACTGTATATTAATTTAAAGAAATAGAAATACTAGAAAATGCCTTTGAGTCTGATAGCATTGGAAGAAACACTCCTTTCCCTCCATCAGTAGATTATTGAGGTTATTTCCTAAGTGATGCTTTGGTCGCCAGTCTTGGTTGTTTCAGTAATATCTCAGTTTTTGGTGAAAGGCTACACGGCAAGCTGGGTTCCGTTTGCAGTTTCCACACCATTGATCAATGACGTTAGGGACATTTAGCACTGGCCATCAACATCTACTTATGCAGTGATATTGCCTCGGAAACCCAAGGAGGGGTCTCCATGAGTCGAATCCGACTCGAGGGCACATACCAACAACAACAACATCAACATTGCCTTTAATTGTGCTCTTTGGTTCCCTTCCTAGTACTCTAGTTTCCCTGTCCCCATGTATTCTCATCTCTGTATTTAAGGAGTCAGTGACCTTTGGTCTCATACTGGTGGTCTGGAAAGAAGGGCAGGGATCTTAGGGTAATACCCTTTATGCTGCATGTGGCTCTGCTGTTTCACTAAAAGGGGATCTTGCAGTAGGTTGGTTCTAGGTTTAAACAGTGTGATCTCTAATCTGTAACTATTACAACCTCCAACTCACCCCCCCCGTCATGTTAATTTCCTCCTATAAATCATTCACTGCTTGCTTATTTCCTACAAGATAAAGTCCCACCCAGGGACTCCTCAAACAATGTAATTTTTGTTTTTTAAATGACCAAAAATGAGACTAGGCACTTCACAAAAGGAAATATATTAATGTATTAAATCTATTAATATATTAAACATATGAAAAAGTGTACGTCATTATTAAGTGTTGGGGAAATGCACATTATGCCTTAATGTAATGAGATGCCCCTGCATCCCTATCAGAATGACTGGATGAAAGAGATTAATCAGACCAGGTGTTGGTGAGGGTGTGAAACAGCTACAACTCCTGTGTGCTACCTGTGTGAGGATAAAATGGTATGACCACTTTGTACGTGTCATAAACTATTCCTAAGCCTGTATATCTTCTGTCCCTTAGTTCCCCTCACCACTAAACTAGGGTAGTTTGAGTTTGATGCTTAAATCAAGATGGTCTAGATCCCAGAACTTGTGGTGTTCTTTGTGGAATTCTGGGAACTGTGATACAGTAGTATGTGTGTACTAAGCTGCACTCTTGGTTGCAAATGACCTAGCTTGTTCTGAGTTAATCCCAAAAAAGTGGAGATACTGGCTCAAGTAACAGAAGCCATGGGTGGACTAGCATCAGACTCAAGGAGAGCCGTGTGCTTAAACGGTGCCCACAGGAATTGCCTCTGCTCTGCTGTCCTCTGGGGCGGCTTAGTTTTCAGACAGCTCCTGGTCAGAGTGGCAGCTGCGAGGTTATGACCTATCAGTGTTGCAACCCCAGTTACTAAACATCACTCCTGCAATTGTTCTTGATTGGTCCACCCCCTAAGCCAGTGATCAGAACTGCTGTGAGAATACAGTACACTCATTGGCCAGGCTGAGGTCAAGTGCACCCTTGGATTGAGAGTGAGGATGGGGTGTTTCCCTCTTAGAAACAGATACTGTCGCTAGAAAAAGGGGAAATGGATGCTACTCTTGCAAAACAACTTATTTTCGCTCCCTTGTCCTTAATGTTTGAGTCAGGCAGCTCTTGCTAGACCCTGGGAATGGAAAGTTGTGGAGAGCGAGCGAGCAGCTTCGCAGCCTGGCTCTGAAAACACCTTGTGGGTTGTGTGGCCTCGTCTACCTTTTGTTCGCTGGCTCTCTCCTCTTCCACTTAGAAGAGGTGTACTTACATTTCTGGTTTACCTACCATGACCTACATTGTCCAGGTTTACCTACCATTACTGTTTCTTCTCCCAGGTGCCCTGCATCTGGCAAATGCCGCTCTCTGGAACCTTAGCATGTCCTGTCCCTTGTTCAAGATTAACCTCAGATACCACCCTTTCAGAAGCCTGCGCTGTGAGTCTTTGGCCCAAAGTAGTTTTTGTTTGTTTTTTTTACTGAAGTTCTTATCTCTTTGCAAGCCCTTAAAATTTTATGCCCTGAGTTGTGTTTCTGTCCATACTTACCCTCGCTCTGAGTTTCTTCAGCAGGGACCATGGATCCTTGTAGCACCTGGCAGAGTGCAGGGGACATGGTAGGTTTAATTGTCCGGTGGTACCAGCTATCTGTAGGCTGGCCTTGAATTAAGTTGTATTTGTATATATGCAGGTTACCTCTTCGCAGTCACACTTTGATGTTGCTTTATCTGTTGTGTGACATGGTCATGTCTGTTGCACACATGCAGTCAGAAGAAGTGTCGGTTACCTCTTTGCAATTACACTTTGATGTGGCTTCACCTGTTACGTGGCATGGTCACGTCTGTTGCACATATGCAGTCAGAGTAGTGTTGATGTGGGAGTCATGGCTCCTTACGAGTCTTGTCTTTAAACATCCATTTGATTAGAACCAAAAAGAGGAAGGGAAGGCTTGCCGTTGAGTCAGTGCCCGGCTCCTAGGGACCCCGCGTGTCGGAGCCAAGCCAGGCCCCATGGGGTTTCAGTGGCTGCATTTCTGGAAGCAGATCACCAGGCATTGCTTCTGAGGTGCCTCGGTGTGGACCCTCCGGCCTTGGGGTTAACAGCTGAGGCGTTACCCTTAAATATATATATATATTCCTGATGCTGTCAAGAGCTCTCTCTGGTCTTGGCCATTTCCCATAATTTTTCAAAACCTTGGTTTTCATATGTTTAAGATGATATCAGAAATGCCCATCTCATTATTTTGTGGTCATCACAGTAAAAAAAAAAATGGTAGGTAAGAATCATCAATGGACACAAAATCTAGTAGAACATGTTTTGTGACAGTTATTGACTGACGTCGTAAATCATCTTTCTGCAGAATGCTTATTAGTTATAAAGGAGAAATAGTAGCAATAGTGGAGAAAGTGGCTCCTACCTTGACTGGGTGATGAAAAGGAACGTGGCTTATGAGGGGAAGGTGGGCATCTGTCCCTCTAGATATGACACCCTGAAAAGGATACAACATTGAAGTGGTATCTCACTGGCAGTGCATAAGCAGAATTCAAGTATAAGGAAACCCCAGACAAACTCAATTGAGTTTCCTTCAAGGACCTGCATTCTTTACTATCAATGTCATAGAAGATAAAGATTGAGGGACTATTCTGTAGGAGATTGAAGAGACGTGGCAGCTGAATGTGATGCTTAATGTAGACTGGGTCTTGAACTAGAGGAGAAGAAGCATTGGGTCAGATGGCAAATTGGACTATGGATAGTAGGTTAGATAAAAAGTGTTACATCAATTTTGAATTTCCTGAGTTGATAACAGTACTGAGTTATGTAAAACAAACTCACTGTTATTTTTTTTAACATTGTATTGTGGTTTAGTTAAAAGTTTTCAAAGCACATTTGTTTTCCATCCCATAATTTATATGTACATTGTTTGTGACGTACACAATTATCAGTGTGTCAGCACTCTCCCCACTTTTGCCTGGCTTCCCCTTTTCCATTCACCCTGCTTTCTTGCCCCTTCTGCCTTCCAAATTTTACTTCTGGGCAAATGTTGCCTTTGGTCTCGTAGTTGGATGTTCTGAGAAGCGCGTTCCTCCTGGGTGTTATTGTGCTCTGTATGAGCCTATCGTTTGCCTTGAAAGGTAGTCTCGGGGGTGGTTTCATTCCTGGCCTGAAGAGTGTTCAGGAGCCATAGTCTCAGGGGTTCCACTAGCCTCTGTCAGTCTGGTCTTTTCTGTTCTGACTTTTGTTCTACATTTCCCCCCACTCTGCCCAGCCCTTCTACTGTGATCCTGGTCAGAGCTGTCAATAGTGGTAGCCGGGTACCAAGTGATTCTGGTGTCCGCCTTGTGGAGGCTGTAGTTCACGTGTGCCATTAGCCCCTTTGATTCATTGCCTCCTGAGTCTTTGGTTTTCTTCTCTCTTTTTGGCTTTGGACAAGAAGAGACCAATAGCTGTGTCTTAGATGGCTGCTTGCAAACTTTTAAGACCCGTCACTGCTCACCAAAGTGGGATGTAAAACCTTGTCTTTTTGGAGTACCTTATGCCAATTCCCCTAGGTGTCCCCTGAGACTATGGTCCCTAGCCTTCAAGCCCAGTAACTTCTCCTTATTCTTAAGAAACACATGCTGAAATATTTAGAGGTAAAGATACATAATGTGTGTAACTTAATCTCAGATGCGTCAGAAATGCATGTATGTGTGAGAGTCAGCACAGGTGATAAAGGGAATAATGGGGAAGCAGCCGATGATGGATGGATCCGGGCAAGGGCACAGATACGCTGGGTTCTGGCTATGCAGCTTTTCTGAAAGTGGAAATTATTTCCCAGAGAATGCTCTGCCTTTCAGAGTCGTTGTAAAGAGTTTTGAAAGAATCAGTACAATGGAGTTTGACAAGAGCGGCGCGTCTGTGCCGCCCTGGCTGGGAAGCCTCGGCCCGCCCTGTGTTAGGGTCTCCCCTGCACTGTTAGCCTCCGAGAGCCTGCAGGAGGCCAGCCTGCTGCTGATTCCTAGCAGTGAACCGCTAACAGCGGGTAGGGGTAGGTTGGAACCCCTAGCTTCTCAACCTGTGCCGGGCTTCCCGCGGCACCGCACCTCCCACAGCATCAGGTGTCTGTGCTAAGTGGCTGAACTCACGCATGACTCAGCTGAACACAGCCTCTTGTTATGTGGTGCACCTTTGGTTTGAAAAGTATATTTCTCTTTCAGCCCAAAATGGAGTTAATCCTGACTGGGAGAAGAAAGTCATCGAATATTTTAAGGAGAAGCTGAAGGAAAATAACGCGCCTAAGTGGGTAAGCTTACTGCCATCTGCAGGGAAGAGGACTGGGCCGCCTGCCCGTTTTCCTCAGTAGAGCGGTACCCCCTGTAGTTTATCATACACGCATTAATGTGTACTGCCTCTCATTAAATGTTAGGAAAAGATTTTGGTCCCGTTTTCAACTTAGCTGAAACATTGAAATGCTTCTATATGGGTGCCTCTAGGTGGCAGTAAATGACAGTGTTCCTAAGGCTTTGAACTGGTTGATTCTGGTTTGACCTGCTGCTGCACCCCAGGTAGACGGAATCAGAACAGATATTGTAACAGGATCCCCATGTGTTCTCGTCTCTCGTCTATACATCGAGTCAGTCTGTCTGGGGTACGAAGGGGGTCAGACCAGAATGACTGGTTGGCAGCCCTGAAGGCTCCACACTTGCTAAAAAAAAATCAGTTATGAGAACTTCTGTCACCTTTGTTTTATTTGCTTCATTTAAAAGAATCAGCGTAAAGTAGTTTTAAGAGAAGAGCTCGACAAAGTGAACGCTTCCTGCTACCTGGAAAAGCGTTCTGCGGGAGAAGCGTCCTTTGACGCTGTAGTCCAGTCTCCTTGCACACACGTAGGAACGCCACGACCCTCTGGACCAGAGGTCATGTTGTACTTGCTTTTGAGATGACTGGCTCCCTGCTGGGGCTCGATTTTTTTTTTTTTTTTTTCCTTCTTCTTCTTTTTTTTAATGGCACTTTGGGTCTCAATATTCAGTCAGTGTATACACTTAATGTTTTACAGAAGGATATTTCGTTGACTAGTTTGTTTGTTTTCCTTTAAGGTACCATCACTGAATGAAGTTCCCCTTCATTATTTGAAACCTAACAGTTTTGTGAAATTTCGTTGCATGATTCAGGATATGTTTGACCCTGAATTTTATATGGGAGTTTATGAAACGGTTAACCGAAATACAAAAGCACGTGTATGTATTGCTTTTTTTAACGAAACTTTCTGCTTATCATTTGTTGTATTAATTTTGTCCTTGCATTTTTTTTTTTTTTTTTTTAATGATAGTTTTGATTCTCATCTACTAATATAATACAGTTTTCCTATGTTTTGGGCCATAGGTTCTTCATTTTGGAAAATACAGAGATGTAGCAGAGTGTGGGGTATGTATCCCTGACTTTAGCAAACATTTTTAATAATCATTTTCTCCTAAGCAGAGAATTTATTACTTCCCTTTGATTGGTCTTAAATTTATTTATCTCCTGTGTAAAGAAGTTCTGAGAATCATGTGAAGTATTTTCTTCAAGTGCTTTTTATTTAACAGCATTTCTGATATGACTTTTTTTATTTTCTAATGATCTTTAGAAGGTAGAATATTTTAAGTGAAAAAATTACTTTGTTACCCAGTATCTACATGCTTATTTGAAACAATTACAGGTTATGATGAATTCTTTTAAAAATGAAAGCAGATGATTAGGGCTGAAACTCATGAAAACAAGCAAACCCATTGCCAAGAGTAATTTCCGACGCATAGTGACCCTAAAGGATAGAGTAGAACTGCCCCCACAAAGTTTCCAAGGCTGTAAATCTTTACAGGGACGCAGACGGTTGGTAGGTTTGAACTAGTGAACTTTTAGTTAGCAGCCAAATGCCTTAACCACTGCACCACCGATCTCCTTCAATTTAGGGCTTAGCACTTGCTTAATTAAATTTAGTCAAATCCTACCCACTTTTTCTGGGGGAGAAAGTATTTTTATTTTTATTGTGATTTGGGTGAAAATTTTCAGAGCAAAATCACCTTTCATCCAGCAGTTCACATATGCTTATGACATTGACCACAATTTACCACAATGCAACAGCTCTCCTCCTACTTCCTCCTGGTAGTTACCTCTTCCCTGTGTCCATCCCTCCATGCACTCCTGTCCCCTGAGCTGTCTCCCTGTGCATAAGCAGCCTTTCTTTCTCACATGATTGTACTCTCCAAGGAGTGTATCTACCTCAGGTAAATGTTCAACTCATATGCTTGTCTTTTGTTTGGCTGGAAGCCACAGGCGTGGGTTCAATACCAGACCTGAAGGACAGCTAGGGACCATAGTCTCAGTGGTTCCACTAGACTCTGTTGGACCACCAAACCTGGTCCCCCTGGGGGAGAAAGTATTTTTAATAAACTTTCTTTAGTAAAAGGAAGTAATGCAAACCCTTAACATCAATAATGGGAGAAGGAAGAAGGCAGAAGGCTGGAAATCTGAGAGCCTTCGCTGGTTTGTAAACTCCCCCAGGGGGTGTTCTCATAAGCACTATGCTAATTTTTTTAATATGTTGCTGTTCAAAAATTAGCATAGCACACTTACAAAAATACCTGGGGGTGGGGGAACAAACAAACATAAAAGGGTAGAATTACTTAATTATGGCTCTGAAAGTGCCAGTCTTGTGGGTAGAGTTACAGAAAAACAATTGGAAACCACAGTATATATAGTGTGTGCTGTTTTTTCATTGTTTTTCTGATAATTGGAAAACAACATGGAGAGTTTAATTTTAATCTGATAACCTGTTCAATGTGCAGGGAGTTGTAACCCATAACCTAGGAAAGTTTAAAATTTATTTCAGTGTTAATAGCAAAAAGGGTTATCAGCATGTTAAAATAAACATTTAAAATGCCTCCTCTGTCTTGTCCCTCGTATGCTTTTCCTGTGGTTCTGTTGGAACATAAGCCATAGCTGTCAGCTGTGGGAGGGACAGACATATGGGGGGGGACACCGCCAGGTGCGTTCAGCGGGGCCTCGGCGCAGAGCTCAGGTGGAGTTACCCCGCCAGGTCTCGCCTCGTCTCTGCTCTGCAGAGCCAGAATCTTCGCCTTCTCGGCTTCTCTGGGCTTTGTCGCTGTGGGAGGCTGGCTCCTGCTCCCCGCGCCCAGGTGAAGAGGTTGACATGCGAACCTAGTTCCAGGCAGTCAGTTCACGGGAGTTGTTCAGTGAGCAGATCTGGACAGAAGAGCGGCCTGAGTTTGGAAGGTTGCCTCAAAGATTCTGATAACGGAAAATGTAACTTCTTGCAATTACTTAGAGTAATGGACTCACGTGAGAGATAAGGGTGGTTCAGTTTCACACATGACGACTTGGCAGATCTTCTGAGACCTTTTTTCCCTGAAGAATTTGCTCTTCAGAGGAAATGTCATGCCCAGTCCAGTGACTCAATCACCTTTACACATGCTTAGTGCGTCCTTTGTTCGGAGCCCTGATTCCTGTGGAGCTAACATCTGAATCCACAGTTGTTTCTGCACATGATGAGGAGTCACTGTAGCTTAGTCATCTCCACATCTGGAAACGGAAGGGAGAGACTGTCCGTCTGTGACTCTGTCAAAGGCTAAGAGAGAATCTGTGTATGTTCCTAAAATAGTATACACAAAAGCCTTCTCCTACCAGGAAAAGGGAACTTCAGGCTTGGAGAGGAGGAAGCAGACAAAAACCTAGCTTGTGCATTTCTCAGCCTTGAACTTGCTGTCTTGGGATTTTCTAAGTATGTCTGAAATGAAGAACATGCCTTTTCTAGGGAATAATAACTGACTTGTAACTGTCGGCTCACAGCCCCTCGTTAGGAGTATTTGATTCTCTTTCACCTGCCGAGTCTGATAGTTTTCTGGGATTGCCAGGTGCTTTCTCTTTGAGAAAAAGTTAAGTAAATAGAGTATCCTGCTTATTAAAAAGGATTGAACTTTGTAATCTAGGGTCCTGTTTAAGGGAAAGTGGTGTTTTCATTGCTGCGTGTGAAATGATACATCATTTTCCTATTTGAAAAATGATAGTTTGGAATGAGCAGTTGCTTATTTAACGCAATATGAAATGTTTACTGTCATTTCATAGAAAATGTGTAAATGTAATTGCCAGTTTTTCTCTTTAATTTTTAAATACTTTTTGTGTGCCATCGCAGCCTCAACAAGAAGTTGATTTAAACTCTCCTCGAACCACCACTTTGGAAAGACAGACTTTCTATTGTGTTCCAGTGCCTGGGGAATCGACGTGGGTCAAAGAGATATCCTTTGTCTGATCCTTCTTATGTGTTAAATGGTTCCTGATATTTTTTTAATTTAAAAGACCACAGTTTCTTTTGCGTTTCTAAGACCTTTGTCTTTTTACCCTGTGACACTAGCAGGGAGGGAAAATGTATCCGTCACTCACAGAGTTTGGCTTTATTTACTGTTCCGTTTTCCGAACAGGAAGACCTGTGAACACCCAAAGTACCCATCCCTGAGATGACGGGTGAGCGGACAGCGCCTCCCTGGAGTAACGTAGACTCAGCTCCGTTGAAAGGCACTGGAAAAGGGCCAGACGATTACGTTCTTTAAAAATCAAATCTCTGATTGGAAATCATCCTCAGTCTTTTCAAGGAAAGCATGTTGGGTCTTTGAGAGGCGTTCGTGTGAAACATCTCAGGTTCCTTTGTGTTTTTTACTTATTTAGGTTTTTGTGTTGGTCATCCGTTTAGGCATGGTTCACGTGCATTGAAATGCCCAGATTTGAAAGGCCTGGTTCTGTGATTGGGATAAACGCATACGTGTACAGTCAGGGTACCGCCCAGGAAGTTCCCCTGTCCCTTCCTTGTAGTGTGTGCTGCTGAGAGGAGGAGTCTAGATGTTTGTCTTCTTCTCCAGACTTGGGTTTTGCCCCATGCTTCCCGTGTCTGGTTCCGTTTCATCACCATCTCCTGCAGGATGGAGCAGGAGGGTGTTATCTGTGCCTCTCGTGAGCAGTGCCAAAAGTCAGCATCTTTCAAGAAATACCTCTCATCCTAACCAAACTGCCAGACTACTCAATCTTTCCTTAGTCATATATATAGTATAATTTAGGGAGCTCTGGTAGTGTAGTGCATAAAGCATTCAGCTGCTAACCAGCAGGCTGGTGGTTCAAAACCACCCAGCCTACTCCTCGGAAGGAAGGCTGGGCAATCTACTTCTGTAGAGACACCGCCTTGGAAACGCAAGGAGGGGTTGCTATGAGTTGGATCTGACTCGACGGCATTGAGTTTGTTTTTTTTTTTTTTTTTTTTTTTACAGCATAATTTAGGGTATTCTTCAATTCAAATAGTCTTTTCTTAACCTTTGATCTCACGCCTATGTTAACGCAAACCAAGCTCGAGTTAGCCCCTCGACATCCTACACTCCCAGTCGTCACAAGAGGAGTTATGAAGATGATGAAGATATGGACCTTCAGCCCAGCAAACAGAAAGAGCAGCATGCGGGTGCCAGACAAGCAGGTACCGTGTGCCACAGGTTTCCTGTTGACTTCTGCTCTCTTGCAGTAGATTCGTTTTCAGAATGGTTTTGTAATACAGCTCTAGACTGAAGAGCTAGCAGTGATGTGGCAAGCTTGCTCTCCAGTTTGTCAGAGTTGTAGACCGTTTCATGAGGTTTTGCAGTCCTGTTTGGCCAGACTGTACTTCATAACTGAGTCGTTTACTCATCACTTAGTGGGAAGAAGCTGCTTTACCAAGGTTTTAGATTCTCAGGTGGTTAGCTGGGAACGGTCCTCTTACCTTCCTGTTGATTTTTTCCCTGACTCCTAAATAGTATGAATGTAGGAGTCTACCTTCAGGTGACTCACTGGTGTCTTTAGACACCCTTGTACACTTCCTGTTTGGAGCAGTGGTCTGTAGTTTCATGAGACTGAAAATAGCACATGGAGTTGGGGTTCATTAGATGATTGATTGCTAAGCCTTAAAGCAAAGAACCTTAGAATAAGCACAGCTGTATTTGGTGTATTTATATAAATTTCTCACTGTTTATTTCTTAAAACATGCTTAATAGACAACCAATCCTGATTAAGACAAGCAGACCAAAAGTTGCAGTTTTGTGGGAACGTGACACTTGGGTATCAGTCTCTCTGCATATGCTGATTTGCAAATGCAGTGAGTTTATTATTATGCCCGGGGACACGTTTGTCTGCATTTCTCTTTATGTGCCAGTCACTTCTCATTAGCACCTTGAACCAGAGGACACGTTTAAAGGAGAGGCAGCAAAACAAATCCTTCTGCTGAACTGATGTCTTTAAGACTGGGTGGAGGGGGCAGCCTGGACCATCAGATAGACGGAGGGAGACTGACTGTGGAGTCTCATTTAGCCATGTATTCTTCTTCTGCATAAACTCATGTTATTGTGTTCCCTTAAGGCATTATTTTAATGGTTTTTAAATCAAAATATTTTATATGACTATATACAAATATGATAGTATTCTTTTTCTCTGCCCACCCCTAAATGTTAATTAAAATTAAACTTTCAATTTTCAGTAAATGTAGATACACATGGGGTTGTAAGAATAATACAGAGAGATCCCATCTACCTTTCACCGTTTGCCATGGTGGTGACATTTTGCGTGGTTAAAGTACAATATCATAAGCAGGAAATGAATATGGATACAATCCACTGACTGATGCACGTTTCTCATTTGTACCTGCGCTCGTGTGTGTGCGGGGGTGTGTGTGTGTGTTTACTGTGCAGTTTGATCACCTGTGTAGATTCACGTGCCACTACTGTGGTCAGGATACAGAAGGTTCATCGCCACAAGGATCCTCACATGCCCTTTTATAGCCACACCTGCCTCTCTCCTGGTCCCCCTGACCACAGCTGCCCATAGGCTGGCTGTCTCTAGAATGTTGTCAGTTCAAGAGTGTTATATAAATGGAATCGTACAGGAACTCTGGAGGGTTGGCTTTTTTACTCAGCATACTTCCCTCGAGATTCATTCAAGTTGTTGGATGTGTTAATAATAGTTCATTCCTTTTTATTGCCAAGTGGAATTTTGTGGTTTGACAGGCTGTATTTTTATTCTAGTTAGTTGTCAGCCCTAAACTGTAACTACTTCAGGAGTAGAGACTCTTTCTAAATCATTGATGTATCATTAACAACTAATTTGATTTCTGGTACATAAAAGAAAAAAAACTCACTCACTGCCTTCGAGTCATATCTGACTCACAGCGACCCCTCCTTGGGTTTATTAATAAATATTTGGTAAATGAATTGTTGCAGTTTAGTTTTATTTTGCGTAATCAGTAGGAAAAAGTATGTTCTGCCAGAGTGGTTTTGTTGACTCTAGAGCATGTTATTCCTTTAGGTCAAAAGAGGTCAGCATAATCATACTGAATGTTAACTTTTTAAAGTATAGTATTCAACATAGAACTTGGGGAAATTTGTTGCCATTTGTAGTAGGGAAAAATCATTAAATTTTTCAGATCTTCATATTTATTTTCTTCTAAGTCAGGTAAGGGCTTTGTTGGTATATGTTATTTCCTTAAACTCTGTAATAACTTGAACTTAAAGCTCAGACGCATCACTGCGTCAAACTTGAGAGGCTCTTTAGGGATGCTGATTTTCTCCAGGAGGCTTCTGAAGTGACAGTGATACCCTCTGATTTAGGGAGGGTTGGTGGTCTTCAGTGGTGTGGAGAGCCAAAACGCTTAGAGACTGAAGCTTCCACTGGACAACCGTTGAGCTTCCTGAACGTGTCTTCTCCTTTTGACCTGAACTTCCCCCTGCCAGGAGAGAAAGGCCCCGCGTGCCTTGTGAAGGTAATAAAACCTTTCACACACCTTACATTGAAATACGTTATGTTGTGTGTCTCTGAAATTAAAATGTAAAACTCGTTGGCATGTGTACGAGTCTCCTGTGGCTGCCATAACCGATTACCACAAACTTAATGGCTTAAAACAATGCAGATTTCTCATCTCACAGCTCTGTAAGGTTAGACATCAGACATGGGTCTCACTAGGGTGGAATCCATGTGTTGGCAGGACTGACAGGAAGCAGTCTGTTTCCTTACCTTCCCAGTGTCAGAGGCCACCCGCAGCCTTTGGCTTATGTCCTCCTCAAAGCCACCAATATGGCATCTGTCTGACCATTTTTTATATTCACATCTCCTTCTGACCACTGCTAGGAAAAACTCCAATTTTAAAGACCCATGTGATTAGATCAGGCCCACCCAGATAATCCAGAATCCCTTTCCATCTCAATGTCCCTGATTTTATCACATCTACAAAGCCTCTCTTTGCCACATCTGGTGACATCACAGATTCCCAAGATGAAGACCTGGAGATCTTGTGGGGAGGGGGCGCTGTTCTGTCTCCCACAACAGTCTTAAAGAAACTAAGACTACTTCAGGCACTCTCCAACCTAAGAGTGAGGCTGAAGCCGGAACAGCTTTTTAATTCATGTCTACTTCCTTCCCATGTCATTTCTGTTTCCTGTCTACCTCATTGTTACCATGCATCCTTCTCTTACTAAAACTCATTTCTCACATGTATTTAAAATAAAAGAAAAAGCCTGTGAATAAGTTGTCCTGTCTCACTTATTCTGTTTTTTTTTTTTTTAATTCATTATTTATATCCTGATAGGTGAGCATGTGATAGTAAGTTTCAGAATTGACAATTGAGAATTTCCTTTCTTACGTGTTGTAGTTTTAATGGAAATACCACTTCAGTTCTGTGGGTAGGGCTGGCTTATACTGTTGCCTGCATGCTCTGTCAGGCGTTAAGAAAGTCCATCGTGACAGCCAGCTTTGGAAGTTTGCTTTTTTACTGTGAAAATCCTCATGCGAAGGTTGGTGTTAATTCTCCTAATGTTGCACAGTTTATGGGTAAGCCCAAAACCAAAGCCAATGATCCTTAGTAATTCCTTCCGTTGGTATAGTTCATAGGTTGTGAGATGATGTTTCTGGTTTTAGTTGAACATCACTCTGTGGGAAAAGCCTTTTTTTTCTTATTGTGATTTGAGTGAGGTTACAGAGTCAATTAATTTCCATACAACAGTTCACACACGTTTTTCATGACACTGGTTGCAGTCCCCGTAGCCTAGCAGCTCTCTTCTCATGTCCTCCCTGTGGTGACCTTTTCTCTGTGTCCCTCTTCCCACTGCATCCTACCCTCTGAGCCATCTCCCTGTGCTAATGCTGCCTTTTCCTGAAGCTAATACTGAAAACAAACATTGGCCTAGGAGTCGAGCCCTGTGGTTTAGTTTTTAACTTTGCCTCTAACTAGCAGGATGACTTTGGGTAAGTACCTTCCCTCCCTGGGCCTCAGATTATAAAGCAAAGGAGTTGCTTTAGATGTCTCTGTGAGGTCTATTTCCTGATTTCAAATTCTAAGACAGTATCACTACTTTAGCCTTGAGACTGATAGTTTCATTTTGTGTCCTTCAGTCTTAACAGCTTGATTTCACCTGGTCTCTTGCTAGGTCTATGAGGACTGGGATCGCTTCAAAGTCAATGATGTTCTTGAGTTATATGGCGTACTCTCTGTGGACCCCGCGCTAAGTATTCTGAATAGTGATGACAGGTGAGTCGGCTCTCTACTTAATTAGGGAAGCAGTTAGTGTTGAGGTGAACAGCACAGACTCTGAGCCAGCAGCCTGGCTTGCAGTCCCAGTGTGGCTTCTTAATGGTTGTATGACCTTGGCCTTAACTTTACTGTGGCTTGGTTTCCCCATTGTAAAATGAGGTGGTTGTGAGGGTGGAATGAACTTATGTGTGCAAAGCATAGAAAATTGTCTGACACATAGTAGGTGCTACATAAAAGGTTGTCTTTATCATTTTCAAAGGAAGAGAGTGTCAGTTTATTACTCTAAGGAGCTCTGGGGATTCAGTGGTTAAAGCATTGGGCTGATAACCAAAAGGTCGGTGGTTCGAACCCACCGCTCACTCCACAGGAGACAGACGAGGCAGTCGGCTTCTGTAAAGATTGACAGCCTTGGAAACCCTGTGGGGCAGCTCTGCTCCGTCCCGAAGGAGCACTCTGAGTCGGAACTGACTCGACGGCAGTGGGTTTGAGGGTCAGTCTGAAGATTAAAAATGTTTCAGTCGTCAGTAAATCTGCCACCTGCTGATGTAGTGTATCTGAAAAATCCACATTTGTTTTCATTGCTTGATTACTTACCACTTGAGGAAGTCATATAAGAATAAAGTTTAAGAAAACAGTTACTTCAGAGGGGACCAGCTCCTGCACACACTGCACGCTAGTCGACAGCTTTTGAGACAGGCTCTGAAGCATCTGATGTCCCAGCTGACAGCTCGAGAGAGAATACTGGTTTTGGAATACCCTTATTTCTTGCAATGATAGTACAGTGAGTGAAAATCTCATTTTTCTTGAAGAGTGGAACCACTGCCCTAGATCCTAGCATGACCTGACTTGGCTGAAACCTGCTGTAACGTTTTAGAACGACGCCCCATTTTCTGCTCTTGGAGGAGAGGAGAAGGGAAAATGTTCTTGGCTTGGATTCCATTATGTTTCGAGAGCTGCACCTTGGTTTTGCAGCTGTACAGTTGATGTCTGTGTGTATAAGCTGAAGCGTTGCTGTCCTCTGCAGGGACGCCTCCTCGCTCCTGGACCCGATGGAATGCACAGACGCCGCGGAGGAGCAGCGTGTCCACAGCCCCCCGGCCTCCTTGGTGCCGAGAATCCATGTGATTCTAGCCCAGAAGTTGCAGCACATCAACCCACTGTTGCCTGCTTGCCTCAACAAAGAGGAGAGCAAACCCTGTGAGTGGTAAGGCCCAGTGGGCCACCCTGTTACCCTGGGCGTGCATCCAGAGCCTCCTGTGACCTGTGCCCCTGGTGGGACTGAAAGGCAGATCCTTCGTCATCAGACTGGCTCCGGAGTGATTCCTTCCCTTACTCTCTCAAGATTGGCATCATTCACTGACCAGTGTGTTTGGTTTGCCTGAAGTTGTGTTCTCCTGAATCCCAGTGCTCTGTTTCACACAGTTACTCTTTCAGCCGAAGACAAGTGAGCTGGGAGCGGGAGTACGTGTTCTGACTGGCTGTCTTCCTTCTGCAGTTGTCTCAGGCTTCATGTCCGAACTGTCTCCAGTCAGAGCAGAGCTGCTGGGGTTCCTCACTCATGCCCTTTTGGGAGATAGTTTGGCGGCCGAATACCTTATATTACATCTCATCTCTACAGTGTAAGTGTTTCTTCCTGATGGGAATGAGGTTTGGTGTTGACAGAATGCTGAAAAGAGGAGGGAGGTTTCGGAGGTCGGGAGTGATGTTTATCAGGCCTCATCATCAGATGGTTTTCTGTGTTCAGTGTAGTCAGTGTTAGACCTGGTCCAACCCAAATTCTTTTTTTCACCTTTTCTGTTCTGATTATGGTCCCGTAAGTTTTAGAGCGAAAATCAGATAAAGGACCTGGCTGATGAGTAAAATAAGCTACTTTATCCTATTCGCATTCCAAATTTTCTGTTTATGTGGCCCAGGGCTCTGCTTCTAGAAAGAGTGGGGGGACATGGAGCGCACGTTGAACCTGGGCACTGGCTTTTCAGCACCGCACCCTGTGACCCCAACGTAGTTCTTTGTTTTCTGATTTCCCAAGTAACATGTTCTCCTTGGATAAGTCCTGAAAGCGTAAGGAAGACAACAGAAGTTGTGTGTAATCTCACCATTTGGAGCCCGTCTCCATTGCCATGTTGGGTCCAGGGTCATGGCATCGGCCGTGGTTATAGGGACACATAGCTCCATAGATCTCTGCTGTGCTCTAGGCAGAAATCTGTATCTGGTATTTACCATTTAAAATACTCTCCCATCATAGTTTTTTTTTTTTTTTTTAAACAAACATTTTAATGGCTGCACAGTGTTTCTTTCTAGACAGTGGTACATACCATTTCCCTTAACAATGCCCGTTAGGTTTTCCTCTATTAATAAATAACACTGCAGTAAACATCTCTGTGCTGTAAATCATGTCCTTCCTAGGACGGGATCTCAGGCAGGAGAACATGATGATTGAGATGATAGATTCTGGAGCCAAAGTACCTGGGTTTGAATCCTAGCTCCACCACTCCCTACACTGTGTAAACTTGGGCATGTTACTTTAGGTTTCTGTGCCTCTGAATCTCATCTGCAAAACAGAGATAACAACACCTGCCTTAGAGTGCTTGGGGTTAAATAAGACAGTGCCAAAGGACTCAGAGCACGCCTGCTGTCCCACTGGCATTTTAGGATGAGCACGGGTTTTCCCTTCTCTTAGTCTGATAAAGAAATTAACTGGTTGGCTTTGTTTTTAATGATAATATTAAGTCAGTTTTTATTGCTTTTTGGGAAAACAGTGGAGTATTTCATTGATTTTTCTTTTTTCTCTTAAGATATACAAGAAGAGATGTTCTACCACTAGGAAAATTCACACTGAACTTGAGTGGCTGCCCACGGAGTAGTTCCTTCACAGAACACTTATATCGGATTATTCAGCATCTTGTTCCAGCAGTAAGATCAATATAAAAATACATTCACAATAGAAACCTAAGCATGCTGAAAAAAACCCATCTAATTGTCTTTCATTTAACGCAGATTTTAATAGATTGCATTTAAAGAGAAATGGAAGCCGGCGGGTCTACATAATTTGGAACGTATTCTTTGACTTTCCTTTCATTGCCTGAGCACAAATTTCTGTCAGTCTAGCAATACAGTTGTAGGTAACTTGCTTAAAGTTATACCATCTGTTGATGCCAATCTGCATGTGAAATTTGGTAAAAAAAAAATTTTTTCAAGAATATTGAACAAGGCATTTGAGACTAAAGCAGCTTACAGTCAGTGAAATTCTTACTCAGAATGTAGATGCTGTTTTTGCTCCTAAGAGTCCAATAAACCAATAGACTGTACTCTCTTGGAAACTTATAAACTCATTTTTTCCTTATAAAACATGTTTAATCCCAAATATAAATTGTCTTGAAACAGGGAAAAAAATTGGTTTCTTGCTCATTAAGAACTTCTCCTTGCAGTCTTTTCGTCTCGAGATGACCATAGACAACATGAATCATTTGAAGTTCATTCCCCACAAAGACTATGCTGCCAACCGCTTGGTCAGTGGCCTCCTGCAGCTGCCCAGCAGCACATCTCTCGTAATTGACGAAACTCTTCTGGAACAAGGGCAGCTGGACACACCAGGTGTGTGCTAGGTGTCTCCCTTCCATTCCGTTCTGGTGAGAGTCTGATCAGTGATGACTATAAAAGACTGTCCATGGACAAAGAGAAGTCCACATTCACAGTATTTAAGACAGAGGCTTAGTGTGTGGATTTGATTAAAGTATATGTTAGAAACTAGTTAAATTGTGTCCACCCATCATGCTTTTTAGAGTATTAAGAAAATAGTGTAAGTGTGGGTAAGTAAGCTGCATGTAGCCTTTTTAAGCAGATTTTGCCATTAGTCATATATTGTCTCAACAGTGAAGGGTAGAAAAGGTCTGATCAATCATTTTGTACCTCCTGTTGTGAATTGTGAAGGAACTATTTAGATCATATACAGAATGAATGTCAATTACAGAACCTTTTGTAAAATTATGAGAAAGATTGCTTTATCTGTGTTCAGGCAGGGAGAATTAAGAAGGTACTTGGCTGACGATAAGCTCAAGAGGTCAAGATCAAAGAACAAAATAATGTAGATTGGGCACCTTTAAAACAGATGTGGGTATAGAGTCCTATCATAGTGTTTTAGCCCTGTGAGCCCACCACCTGGAAAGTAATCCTAGGTATTGGAAATTTATTTTATACCTGGTTGCATGTTAGATGCTAGGTACTCGATTTTGTGGGGTCATGGCTTCAGCAATTTCGGGCTCAACTAGTATTTTCAGTAGAGGCTGTGACCTGAGGAAAGTTCAGCTTAGTCAAATGGAGGCGATTGGACAGTACCCTGATGACAGCAGGAGAAATCTCTTGTCTTATTTTTGTGTCCGCAAAGCTAATTTGTTTAGGTGATTAACATCTAATGACTGAGAAATTATTCTCGTTTTTCTAGGCGTTCATAATGTGACTGCCCTGAGCAACCTAATAACTTGGCAGAAGGTGGATTATGACTTCAGTTACCACCAGATGGAATTCCCCTGCAATATTAATGTTTTTATTACTTCCGAGGGGAGATCACTCCTCCCGGTACGATGAGTCATTCTACAATGGAGGGGGGTTACATGGAGTTTCTTTTAAAGTGTCCCTAATCTCCTGGGGATTATCTGCGTGCTTTACTGTGAAATGCTCTGGGATTTATCAAAGGGGCTTTGTCCAGTCTGATGAAGAGCTTTAATTCTGAGATGGTGAGAAATACTCCCAGTTGTTTGAAGGCATCCAGTTTACTCTTGTCATGCTGCTCACCTGGGGCTCAGGAGCAGCAGCCTGTGGTCAAGAAGGAAGTGGCCCAGTGGTGAGTTTTCTGCAGGATGGTACGATTTGCTTCATGTGGTAGAGAGAAGGTACCTCAGTCATAAGTGTAGAATTGAGGAAATACTGGAAACATTTTAATTACTGGTTTCCCAGAGGTTAGTGGCCACCTTTTTACATGCTTACTGATGCTCTTGAAGCAACATCTTTATCATCATTGCTGAGGAAGTAAGAGTGGCAGTAAATTGATGTTAAAAGCTGATACCCCTCCCTTCAAGGAATATATGGTATTTCTAATTCCCTAATGGTTACTAGAGGTGATACATCCTCCTAAAATTTCAGATTAATTTAGAAACTTGAAAAATACTGTGTTCTATTTCTCTTTCCAGGCAGACTGCCAGATCCACTTGCAGCCGCAGATCATTCCACCGAACATGGAGGAGTACATGGACAGCCTCCTCTCGGCGGTGCTGCCTTCTGTCTTGAATAAGTTCCGGATTTACCTGACCCTTCTGAGGTTCCTGGATTACAGCATATCTGATGAAATAACCAAGGCAAGTTGGGGTTGAAGGAAAGGCTTTCCTGTGGGCCGTTCATCTGCTCTACTACTAATGTTGCTGTTTGTCTTCTAATGGCCATGTCTTTTTGTTCTTCTGCTTCTCTATTACCTTCTGTTGTTTGAAATAGGTATTTTCTACTTTCTATTTTAATTTCCTTATTGTTTCTTTTTCTAGCTTTTGTGATTTGGGTGAAATTGTACACAGCAAGTTCATTTTAGATTCAGCAGTTCACCAGTGCTTTGTTTCATGACTGATTACAGCCCCCACGATGTCACAGCTCTCTTCCCACTTCCTCGGTGGTTACCTTTTCCATGTCCTTGCCGGACCTTGTTGACTGATCTGAGAAATTCCTCACCCTTACGTAGTTGTTCCGCTCGTAGGCTTATCTACTGCTTGGCTGAGAGTTAAGTCACAGGAGTGAGTCCAATTTGGGGTCCAAAGGCGACCAGGGGCCATGGTCTCAGAGGTTTCACCCGTCTCTGACCAGTAATTCCGGTCTTTTTGTATTTTTTGAATTTTGTTCCACATTTTTTCTCCCACTCTGTTCTGGATCTATAATTTTGATCCCTTACTGAGTGGTTGGCCTTGGTAACCAACCAGGTGCCATCTAGTTCTTCTGGTCTCAAGGTTGTATAGTTTGGGATTCCCACAGTCCATTAATCCCCTAGATTAATACGTCTTTAATTTTTTTCACTTGTCATTGCTCCAGACTAGGAGAGACCAGTAGTTGCATCTTAGATGGCAAGCTTTAAGACCCCAGTCACTACTCACAAAGCAGGACATAGAGCAATGTCTTTGTGTACTATGCTGTGCCATCTGAATTTGATGTCCCCCATGACCATGGTCCCCAGCCCATAGGCCCAGCAACTCACTCCCTGAGTGCTTGGTTATGGCTAAAAGTTACCCTAACTTTGTCCTGTTTGTCTATCTATATATATATATATATGCACTTTTTTTTTTTTGAGATTTTTCTTCAGTGGTTGGTCTGTATATTACAATTAACATCTTACTGTATACCAGTCTAGCTAGAATTAATGCCAATTTCATTGCCCACAGTATACAGAAATGTTGTTCCTATGTGGTTCCAGGCCTACCTAATAGACATTGTATACCCACCAGTACAGATTTGTAATTACTGCTAACACAGTTATCTTTTAAATCAGAGACGTTACCAAAAAGAGATTGATACTCTCTTTTGTATTTGCCTATAGTTACTTTTACCAGTGCTCTTTATTTTGTGGTGTGAATTATGTGAATTAAAGGTACCAATGTCCTGTTTCAATTGGAAAAACTCTCTATTTAGTATTTCTTTGTGGCAGGCTGGCTACTGATAAATTCTCTTTGTTTTTTCCTATCTGGAGATGTTTTTAAGTTCATTTTCATTTTGCAAGGTAGTTTTCATTATAATTTAAATTTTATTTTGTTGTTAAGAATATACACAGCAAAACATACACCAGTTAACAGTTTCTACATGTACAGTTCAGTGACATTGATTCTGTTCTTCGAGTTGTGCAACCATTCTCTCCCTCCTTTTATCTTGTTCCCCTCTCATTAACATACACTCAGTGCCCCCTAAAGTTCCTGTCTTATCTTTCCAGTTGCTGTTGTCAATTTGATCCCATATAGATAGTTCTTAAAAGAGCATAATGCTCACAGACAGACATCTTTTACTAGTTAAGCTATTTAGTTTTAAGAAAACTCTAAAGAGAATATTTTTGGTTTAAGGTTTAAAGGTTATCTCAGGGCAGTAATTTCAGGAGTTCATCCAACCTTCATGGCTATAGGAAGCCTGGAGTCCATGATAATTTGAAAGTCTGTTCTACATTTCCCCACCTTTTAATCAGGATTCTTCTGTGGAATCTTTGATCAGAGTATTCAGTAAGGTATCTAGGCACCATCCAATTCTTCTGAGCTCATGGATAAGATCAAGGATAGTTTTGCTGGAAATAAAATCTTGGTTTCTAGTCTTTATCCTCGACCACTTTGAATATGCTGCCCTGCTGCCTTGGTCTTTATGGTTTTTTGTTAAAAAAGCAAGCTTTTACATGATGAGTTGCTTCTATCTTGCTGCTTTTTAAGATTCTTTAATTTTGAGAAGTTTTATTATGATGTGTCTAGGTATGGGTCTCTTTTGAGTTTATTGTACTTGGAGTTTCTTGTAGATTAATGTATTTTTTACCAAATTTGAGCAGTTTTGGGCTCTTATTTCTTCAAACGTTCCTTTCTCCTTCTGGGGTTCCCATTTTGTGTATCTTGGTACACTAGATCGTATCCCACAAGTCTGTGTCAATTTTTCTTTATTCTTTCTATTCCTCAGAATGGATATCTCAATTGACCTGTCTTAATGTTCACTGTTATCTTTCTTCTGCCTAGATCTGCTGAATAGCCCCCCTCAAGTGAATATTTTTATTCAGTTACATATTTTTTTCAACTCCAGAATTTCTAATTTGCTTTCTATCATTTTTCTCACTTTATTGATATTCTCTATTTGGTCAGACATCATTCTCATACTTCAGTTCTGTATGCATGGGTTCCTTTTAAAGTAGCTGAAATAAAATCTCTATGAAGTATAATGTTTGGGTTTTCTCAGGGACATTTTCTGTTGACTGCTTTTTTTCCCCCCCAATATATGGCTCATAGTCTGTATCTTGCAAAATTTTTTGAAAACTGGATATTAAATGTGGCCACCTTAGAAATCGGATTCCCCCTTTTTTTTTTTTTTTTAATGTTCGTTTAGTGACTTTTCTGAACAAATTCTGTAGTCTGTATTCTTTGCTGTGTGTGGCCACTGAAATCTCTGCTTGATTAGCTTAGTGGTGGTCAGTTAATGATTGGTCAGAAGTTTTCTTGGATGCCTGGAAGCAGTAGTCTCCCAGTCTGTGCTGTGGGACTCGTTATACCTATTGGGGTATACCTTCAACACTCAGGCAGGCAGTTTAAAACTCAGTTTAAAAGGCAGTTTAAGCCTTCACTTCCTGCTTGCATAGAGCCTCAAGGTTGTCTCGAAGGGGGTAGCTTAGGGCCTTCTCAGATATTTCCCGAGCATGTGCATGGTATAACCATGAGAGGTGTGGGAATAGGGCAAGTTAAAATGCCACAAAGCTTGCTGTTAGGACAACTTAGCTAGCCATTTTTCTGGAATAAATGCTTCCTGAATTGCTACACGCCTCTGGTTAACTTGCAGAGTTTTAAAAATGTGGATTTTGACCATCTTGCTAGCGTTGTTGCTTTTTTGAAGAATTTTCTGCAGTGCTTATTCCGTTTCACGGGTATCAGCCCTTCCTGTGTGTCAGGGATCCCGTTTGCTGTGCAGGTTGCCGATTTAGGTTTGCTTCATCTTTTCAGTGAACCTGACTTGTGTTGGGCTGTTTTTCCTACTTCATCAGCAGTGTTATCTGTATGTATAACGTTCTAGTTCTCAGTTGTACCACCTATGTTGTCCCATGTCTGAGAAGCAGGGCTTACATCCTTATTTTTACATCAACCAAGGGCCATCATGGGTAACTTTTCCTTTCTTTACAAAAGGCAAATGTCATTTCCTGTACAAGGTGGTTTTAAAGCAACTTTACTCTTGATACAGGCAGTTGAAGACGATTTTGTGGAGATGCGCAAGCATGACCCTCAGAGCATCACTGCCGATGATCTCCACCAGCTGCTCGTGGTAGCGCGGTGAGTACTGGGGGCACGTAACTGCCTGTTCAGGTGATGCAGGAATTCACTAGTTGCTCAGGAATCAACTGTGGGAAGCTTCTAAAAGTAGAAATGAGCTTTTTCATTTTAGAAGCACCCACGAAAGGGCTGAGGGGGAACTGTGGCGGGCTGGTGCTCACTTCCGTAGAATAGGCCTGCTTCTTGTTTAAGAGTTACCTGGAACCACCGTCTGACCCCAAGTCTCAACAGATTCTGGTTAGATGTCTACCTTGGCTCCTGACACATCTGTAGCTACTGAAGCTCATGTCCTAACGTGGGTTTTGTTTGTTTTAAAGTATTCCTGGGTCTGGGCTTAATTTTGTTTGTGTGTTTCAAACCAGGTTTCTGTCCCTCAGCGCTGGTCAGACAACGCTGTCCAGAGAGCGATGGCTAAGAGCCAAGCAGCTAGAGTCTGTGAGGAGAACCAGGCTCCAACAGCAGAGATGCGTGAACGGAAATGAACTCTAAAGATGCTGCCTCTGGAGAGCAGTGTGCAACTTCTACCCACGTTATTGTAAAATCCAAATATCATTTATACCACATTGTTTTGTAGATAATTTGTATTAAAACCAATGACCTTTCCTGAAATCAAGCCTAATAACATCTGAAGTTTATACGATGTTCAGTGAGAGCTTTTATCTTACTGATTTTATGGAGCTTTTGAAGTTCGTTTTATAATTATATAAATTAGTAACAATGTACAAAAAAAAGTATTTGATATTAAAGTTTAATGACACTGGTAATGTTGCTGATGACACATTTCCTTAGCTTCAGCTCAAGTCGTAAGCCAGACCGCTAACCTTAGCTTCATTTGAAGAAAACTTGGGATGTCAAAGTCAGAGGAAGCCTTCACTTCATGTTTCTGACTTTCTGACAATGGTTCCGAGTGTTCAGTGGTGAAAGGTTGGGAAATGATCATACGTGCCATGAATTCACATGACTCCAATATAGGCCATGAGAAATTCTATAGTTATCATTTCCCAAATGCTTGACCACAGAAGCTTTTTTCCACTAACAGCTGTTAAAAAGCCTGTAAAATAGTCTTTTTACATGGCAGTGGTTCCCAGACTTTTGGATTTCACGGACCAGTAATATTTCCAAATTTTTTTGGACAAGGTTGCCAATTTGTTTTGCCAAGTTATCTGAAATAAATCACTGTGTATTACCACTTTTTTTTTTTTTTTTTAATATATAAAGGACAATCTCAGAATAAAAGATAGTCCTTTAACTGGAATAAATGTAGCTTTTTGGAAAAAACCATTGTCCTCTTTGCCTTGTTTCACCCGGTGTACTTGGGAGCCACTTAAAAAAATTAAAAAAGAGAAAGCCCTCTTTAGAAAAAAAGGTTTACAGTTATTTTACCAACAGTTGTCACTTAGTTGCTTTGGTGGTATCTTAGACTTTGCACTTTTTACCCAAGTTTAGTTCCAGATGTGTTAGATCAAGTGACATTACCTAGTAGTTCAGTAATGGCCTGAGATAACTGAAGGGAGATTTTCTCTATACCAATGACAGTTTCAGTATAATCATTTTCTAAAGAACAAAAGCATCAGTACCTATAGAAAGCACGTTAATGATACTGATAGTGTATTTCTGGCAACAAGAATTTTTGGGAAGGTTAGATTTTTTTCTAAGCTTTTAATTGTGTATATAAATTAACTTCTTTTAATCAGTAATTCCCTAGTTGGAAACATTAGAAAACAATTAAACAATTACTTCAATTTTTCTTATAAGGCTTCAAAATTGACAGTTAACCAAGGACACAGGGTCAGCCTTGAAAATCAAGGCATCTCTTATGCCTCCTGAACTGAAAATTACTAATTGTGTAACAACATTGTTAAATTTTCATAAACTCAAATCTATTTTTATAAACGAATGTAAATAATGTTTCTATTTAGAATTCTAACTGGTTTTCATTTTTATAACTGGTGACTAGACCTGAAACTTTTAGAAATAAAATGAAGGCTCAACTGGACTTGTGAGAAAATTCATTTTCTACAACTGACCTACAGTAGCTACTTACCACTGTGTTTGTGGTGCCAATGTGAATTATAACTTACCAAAGACAGTGCAAAGTTGGCTTGGTCTTGCAGACATGTTCTTGAAAGAAGAACTGGTTCCTTTCAAATAAATAAAACTTCCCAAATTACAAGACCTGGGGCTGTTTTTCATGAATTCTAATACTCAGCATCCCATGCGACTGTGTGTGCTATTTGTCCTCTTGTTGGTAAAACATGCTGTGGGAGGGAGGGATGTGTCCTACTCCCGACATCCCCCAGTCAGGAGACTGGGGCTCTTCAAGCTTCTGAGGCCCTTCTCTCCCTTGGACATTCCTGTGGACTTTGAAATTTATTGATCTGATTTAAGTAAGATACTCTATTTGAACAACCAGGAAACTGAGCACACATCCATGTCACCCTGACTAAAACTAAGAGTTGCTTTCAGATAATTTTGAGAAAAATCTCTTTGCAACTAATTTCTGTGGTGCTTACATGCATTATTTTACCACATGAACTTGACTTATGTTTTCTCTTATGTTGTGGAACACTTACACGTGTTCATGACCCAGAGGGAGCGCTGGTGAGAGCACAATAAAACATAGCTTCAGATGCTTAGGTTTTAAAATGTGATAGCTTGTGATCCATTTTTTTCATTTATAGAAGTCACAAAAACATTTCAAAGGAGTAGAAAATATGGAAAAGTTGGGACAAAGTGTTTAATTATAATGAACTTTCATTCTATTTATAAATTCTTTAATCTGATTTAAAATCAAACCCGTATCTTTAAAATGTTAGCCAAGCAATTCTCATACACATAGTAGTATCCCTTTAAATTACAATGGTACTTTATTTTAAATAATCATAAGATTTGACACTTCAAATAAAAGATACCACTAATAAATAACAAAAGTGGAAATGCTTATCAAAGTTACAACAGACAGAATGTTTAGCTGAGAATCACTTTAGAGTAAGGCTCCAAAGATATCAGATGAACCAATACTTATTTGGAATATGATGTGCAACTTTCTGACTGGGTTCACAGAAGAGGCACTGATTCCATGTTGTAAAGATTCTAGTCATAAAACCAGGTTGAGCACAGTGTACTTCAGACTAAATTTTCTATAGCTGTTAATAGTCTATACAAGACACTGGGGAATGTCCCCCTGGAAAACACTTAAGTTTGAAGACTTTCTATAATTACAGGAGCCAGTGTAGGCTTCCTACAGGGTGACGTTTCATAGGATGCTGGTCTACATAGTTGATGGACTCAAGTTTACATTAAGACTGACAGGTCTTAATGCTCTCAGATTGTGGGGTGTGCAGGTTGCAGAATACTTTCGAGTTTGTTCAAGTAGAGTCAAATGAGCACACATCTCTTGACAGTACTGTTAGTAACCCTCCCTTATCAATTCATTGAATGGTTAAGCCATCAAAATGAAACCAGCAGTTTTCTGTACTCAAATGCCTTTCCACACTAACTTCTTAAAATCACTAAAAACAAAACATGTTACCTACCTTGTAGAGGTACTATATGTAAAAATAAACCAACAGAACAAAAAACAACTTATTAAAAACACTTATCTTCTAAATAAATCCATGCCCATCTTTTGTGTCTACTTCATACATTCCATCTACCCACCCCTATCAAGTTCAAGTTATGTACCAAAAGGACCTATTTCTGAATTATTTCCAGACAGATGGCTTTGTAGTGTGTAAGCTACTCAGATCTATGAATTCTCAGACAATGCACTCGTCATCTTGGCTGTCCAACTGGAAATCTGTCCATGTTTAGATTTCCTTTTAAACCTTTCCCAACAAACAGAATTTGTGATCCCTAGATTCAAAGACAGACAGTACAAGTAACAATAGGCTAATACATGAGACCACCTCCTTTTGGACTAAATAAAAGCCACAGAATTCTTTATGGCTAAACTAAATTTGAATTATTCGTGTCTGGCATTGTGTAAACATCGTTTTAAGTTCATTTTGCTGGACTTCGTTAATCACTTCGGGTTCTACAGGACTCTTTTGAACTTTTGCCACTGCCAAGTTTATCCCGTGGGTTAATCCAGCTTGGGTAATACTAGCAACCTGGACCATGGAACTTCTGATCTTTGCAAAGGGAGAGACGGCTCTACTGCTACTGCCTTCTGAAGGAGAAGGAGTTACATTAAGCCTCGTCTCAAGTTCAAGCACACTGGATGCTGAGCCTGGGGTCTTTTGAGATATGACTGATTCAACTGACAAAAACTGTGGGCCTTTCTCAGAAAAAGACACATCTAATTGTGATGGTCGAGAAGGTGTCTGTTCCACTGCTTCTGATTGGTTTTCTTCATTAGAAACTTGATTGGTCACTTGATTTCCTTCTTCGGTTGTCTGCTGAGAAACAGTCCTGGTTTCTGAAGGCTGAGTCATCTTATTTTGTGCGTCTTGTATAAATCTGTGGCAATAAATATCCATAGGCTTGGCAAAGCCAGTCAATATGTGTATGTGGTCAGCGGAGGGACTTTTCTTCAGAGGCAACTCATGGCCTTTACCAAGCCCACTTCCGTGAGTGGCAGTAATCTCTGAAGGAACATGAATACTGGCATCAGTGCTGCTTATCGACTGGGAGCGACTACCTAATCGAGGTGCAGAAGCAATGATACCACAACTAGGAAGAACATAGTCTATGGGCCCTACATCCTCTAAAGAATTAGCTAGCTGCCTGTCTTCATCAGACTTGGGATTGGTAAGGAATTCATCAGAGTGGCAGGAGTCATTATCTGAAGACATCTCCACATCAGACTCTGCCTGGTCTTCACTATCCATCATGCCTGTAGTTTCCATGGTTTCAAGACTACTGTCTGATTTCCAAAGATTTACTTTTAAGTTTGGTTTTAGAAAGTTAACTTTCATTTCAGGTTTTGTAAAGTTTCCTAACTTTCGCAGGTTGCCAATATTTACGTTGGCTTTTGTCTGTTTTACTTTTTGATTTAGAGATGAAAATTTGCTCATGAAAAAATTCTTTCCTTGGGCCAAAGAGCCTTGGTTTTGAGATCTGATACCAATGATGTTTTCATGAGGTTTACTGCTCTTCCTGTAAATTAGAAGTGAAAAAGTTAATTCCCCACGGGATCCAGTGTATCAATGCCAATTACCACCTTGAGTGAGAACACTATGATTTTAAACAGTGCATTGCTAAGTGATAAAGCAGGTGACTCAGCTGAAGCTACATCCAAACCAAAAACCCAAACCCAGTGTCACTGACTCACAGCAACCCCACAGGACACAGAACTGTCCCACCGAGTTTCCAAGGTGTCAATCTTTATGGAAGCAGACTGCCACATCTTTCTTACGTGGAATGGCTGGTAAGTTTGAATGGCCAACCTCCAACCTTTTGGTTAGCAGCCGAGTGCTTTAACCATTGAGACAATGAGGCTCAATCCAGAACAGCACTGTCCAAAAGAAATATGTCAATTATATCTAATTTTAAATTTTCTAGCGGCCACATTAAGGAGCTCTGGTGGCATAATGCCTAAGGGATCTGTTAACCAGAAGGCTGGCAGTTCAAACCCAGCAGCCATTCCGTGGAAGCAAGATGACGCAATCTACTTCTGTAAAGATTTGTTGTTGTTGTTGTTGTTATGTGCCGTCGCGTCAGCCCTGACTCATAGCGACCCCTCCTTGGGTTTCCGAGGCAGTATCACTACGGAAGTAGGATTGCCCAACCACCTTAGAAACCCAATGGAGGTCAATATAAGTCAGAATCGACTTGATGGCAGTGAATTTGGTTTGGTTTTGGTTTAGTGACCACATTAAAAAGAAACAAGTAATTTTAATAACATTTCATTTAACCTAATATACCCCAAATATTATCAGTTCAACATTAATAAATAAAATATTAGTAAGATATTTTATTTTTGTCTTTTCTTTTTGTCAACTCTTTGATTACAAACCAAACCAAACTCACTGCCATGGAGTCGATTATGACACACAGTGACCCCTCCTTGGGTTTCCACAGTGGTATATCTTTACAGATGACGACTGCCCAGTCTTCCAAGGAGTAGCTGGTAGGTTTGAACCACCAGCCTTCTGGTTAGGAGTCAAATGCCTCAGGCACTATGCCACCAGAGCTCCCTCTTTGATTATAGCACCCCTGTATTTAGACTAGCCACACTTCAAGGTCTCTATGGCCACATATATGGCTAGTGGCTACTGCTTTGGGCAACATAGCTTTAGTACCTCCAGATTTTGTAAACCACCAGCACAAAAGCATTAATGACTAGATGGCCATCTGCAGCATCTTAACTAGGTAGCCCAGACACATTCTAGGTGGTGGGGTTGAGGACGGGTGATTCCATGTCCTAATGCTAATTTCCTGTATGAAACCACATGTACTGCTGTGAAGTTGATACTGACTCATAGCGACCCTGTAAAACAAAGTAGAACTGCCCCATAGGGTTTTCCAAGGCTGTATATCTTTATGAAAGCAAACTGCTAACCTTTTGGAGCGCAGGAAAGTGCTTTAACCCGTGCACGTGGGATACTTGAATTTATATTAAAAGACATTGAGACGTTTTTTTATTGTCTTGTACTCTTTGGCATCCCCCTCATACTCATCAAAGTAAGTAAGTGAACAAATAAATAGGGGAGAAGAGACAATCTCCCTTATGTAAGAATTCCAGTTAACAAATACGGAGGAATGAGGGAAATGAAAAAATAATCCTAGAATTTCACAGTATTCATTACCACTGACAAGATTCCCCCAAAGCATGTCAAAATGATTGGGCTACAATTTAAGGAGAAACAGGATATTCTCAAAGGATATTTCCCAAAGCGTTAGTAATTACAAAGGGAAATCCATCCACTCCCTACTTAACCATGTGAAAAGTGGCATTACGTGGAAATGGAGGATGACAATTTCATGATCTATCTGCCAAATTACACCATACATAACTGCCAAACCACTGAGAATCATGGCCCAGCCAAGGTGACACATAGCCAGCGTTCTCTCACTTCAACATCTGTTACTGCCAGATGTGTATCGTTAGTGTGCAAAATAGCTGCATACACTGTTTACCACTGTCACAAATGGGAAGTGCTGAATAACAAGACAGCAAGGAGTCGGTGTGCTAACTTTACAATGGAAAATGCCAGCCAAGGAATCAAGGTCAACATCACCAGTAAGGCTTACTGCTATCCTGTACTCTTCTCCCTGCAATGTGATGCACTGAAAAGTCCACATCCCTTCTGTGGTCTCCCCTCCCCATCAGACATCACCTTAGCTGAATTGTGAGAAAAAAAAATAAAGCAAACTCAGGGTCTTCTACAAAATAACGTATGCTTCAAAAAGTAGCTCTGGTGGTACAATGTGTAAGGCATTTGACCGCTAACTAGAAGGTTGGAGGTTCAAACCCACCAAGCCGCTCCATGGAAGCAAGATGAGGCAATCTACTTCTGTAAAGATTTACAGCCTTTGGAAACCCAATGGGGTTTGCTATGAGTTCAAATTTATGCAATAGCAGAGCGTTTTTTTTTTCTTTCTTTTTATTGTGCTTTGGGTACAAATTTACAAAGCAGATTAGTTTTACATTCAACAGTTCAGGCACAACTGATCTCACACACACACCCCCCATTACCATCCCCAACCATAAAAAATTCTCCCCTCTCCTCCTTGTGACCACACCTTCCCTGTGCCCTTTTCATCTATGCTTTCCTGTCTGTCGAGCTTTCCCTCTATGCGAATGCTGCCCCTCTGATGTCTCCTGGCTGGTTGATCTAAGGAGTGTATCTCCCTAGAATAGGTGTTCTGCATGTAGGTCTTTCCACTGATGAGCTGAGAGCCAATCCACAGAAGTGAGTCCACTTCAAGGCCTGAAGGGTAACCCAGGGCCATAGTCTCATGTGTTCACCAGTCTCTATAGGACCAGCAATTCTGGCCATTTTGTGTTTTTGAATTTTGTCTCACATTTTTAGAGGGTTTGATTTTTGGATGCTTCAAAATGTCACGGTCATGAAAGATGAGGAAAAACGAACTGTCACAAATTACAGCAAACTATAGGAATAAAACAATGAAATGCACTGTGGGATCCTGGACAGAAAAAGGACTGTAGTAAAAAAAAGTAGTGAAATAATAATTAAGTTCTGTACCTTGGTAAGGAGTAATGTACTATGGTTAATTTCTGAGTTTTGATAAACGTTCTATGTAATATGTATAATGTAATATGGTAATGGGAGCTCTGGTAGCATAGTGCCTAAGGCACTTGACTGCTCACCAGAAGGCTGGTGGTTCAAACCCAGCAGGCACTCCTCGGAAGGAAGGTTGGGCAATCCTACTTCCGTAGTGATACTGCCTTGGAAACCCAAGGAGGGGTCGCTATGAGTCGGGGCCGACTCGACGGCAAACAACAACAACAACAATATGGTAATGTGAAGGGGGAGCTGGGCAACTGGTATATAGGAACTTTATTATTTCTATAACTCTTTAAGTATAAAACCTGTCTGAGAATTTCACATATATAGATACAGAATTTAAATAAAAAGTCAGTATTACTTTTTAATCCAAAGAAATAGGATTCTTTCCTCTCTAAATACTAACACATTATCATAATGACCTTCCTCCTTTATAAGTATTTATAAAGAAATGAAATAAGACTTTGGATGATAATGTCTTTATTCTTGGGAGAAGAGCAAAGTAGTCTACTCACCTTTCAAGTTTTTTTTCAATTATAGGTACATCTAATCCCATGGCTTGCTTGGTGATCTGCAGCATCTCTGCAATGCACTGAAGGGTATCTGAAACCCAAACACAACTGACTGCCACTTTCTCCAAAACAGTCTAACAAATTTTAACATAAAAGTAAAGAACAACAGAACCAAATCAACTGGAATTCATACTTTTGCTCTAGTTCTGTTTTGATCCAAGAGCCTATAAAAGAATCCTGATCACAAGAGCGAAAATACCAAACAGAATTTCAAATTCTCATGGCAGTTCTTTCTGAAGTTAAGGGAGGCTGGATGAACCCCCTTAATTTTTGCCCTAAGTTAGTCTTTAAACCAAAAGTATTCCCTGAAGTCTTCTTAAAACCAAACAATAGGTTAGCTAGTAAAGAGTATCTGCCTTGAGCATCGTGCCCCTTTTACAATTCTCTCTACAGGATCAAAAGGAGCTCTGGTGGCAGTGCCTATCTGACTGCTAACCAGAGGATTGGCGGTTCAAACCCACTAGCCGCTCCACAGAAGGAAGACTGGGCAATCTATTTCCATAAAGATTTACTGCCTCAGAAACCCAAAGGGGGTCGCTGTGAGTCAGAAGTGACTCAGTGGCAGCAAGTTTGGTTTTCTGGTTTTATATGGGATCAAACTGACCACAGCAACTTGAAAGATTAGACAGGAATCTTAGGGGGTGTGATGGTTAATGTTACGTGTCAACTTGGCTAGGCTATGATTCTCAATGGTTTGGCAGACACTGGACTGACTGTTTTTCCACAGTGTAATATAATGTAATCATCTTTCCTTTTGTGATCTGATGTGAAAAGCTAATCAGCTAAAAACCAATCAGTTTCCTTGGGCATGTGGCTTGCACCCAATACCTAGGGATGCTCTGGCAAAGCCGGTGCTCTCCACCCATCCTGCATTCGATTTCTCATCTTCAGACCCCGTTCTTAGTACATGATCTAACATCCTGCTATCTAACCTGCAGATTCTGGGATTCACCAACTCCTACAGCCCCTTGAGCCAGTAGCCTGCCATCTGACCTGGCTGCTTATTTTGGGTTTATCAGCCCCCGCAACCATGCGAGTGAGTCAGAAGGCTCCAGCCTGATGCCTGACCCAAGGATTTGGTACTTACCAGCCCCTACAACTGTGTAAGCTATTTCCTTGAAACTACATCAATCTCTCTCCACTTCACTGGTTTTGCTCCTTTAGAGACCTCACCTAAGACGGGGGCAGTGAGTATTATGTTAACAGAAAAACAATTTAGAAAAGGAGGTTGAGAATGGTTGCATAACTTAAAGAATGTAACCAATGCCACTGAACTGTACATGTGAAAACTGTTGAATTGGTGTATGTTGTGCTGTATATATTCAACAAAAAATAAAACTACTAAGAAAAAATAAACAACACAACTTTTTTCTAGTTCGTTTGTTGAAGTAATGTGCCGAGCGCCAAGGCAATAGTGGTGAATCAGACATGAGCCCTGCGGTCTGATGGATTGCTTTTATATGGCCTTTCTCACCATGGTTTTCTAACTCCTACTAAATGACTAGGTGGGACTATGCAAACAGGCTGCTTGTGGCCCACTAAGGGGAGTGGACAGCTTGCTAATGACACAAATAAGGCGCATTGCACCCTTGTGGAAGGAGGACCATGCAAATATGGTGTATGGAACCTACCGTGGTGATTGCTCAGTTCTGCCATCTCATCAGGCTGAAAATGAGCCCTCCCAGAGGTGGGAAGGGGAATCTCACTACCATCAAGAAAGAAGAGCCAGGAGTAAAGTATGTCCTTTGGACCTGACGTTCCTGCTCTGAGAACCTCCTAGACCCCAGAAATAGACAGCTGTAACACCGGAGGTGGCACTAGATGGCAAGCAGCAACAGAGAACTGGTGATAGCAGAACCAGGTGACAGGCAGGAGATGGTGTGGGAGGTTTCTCAGCTCACGGAGCAAGACCATGTGGTAGCCCTGGCACCCAGACGACTCCTTACGGAGTCAAACACACTGAGAATTTCCATTACAGATTCCTTTGCCCCAAGATACATTACCCGCTATGTTTCTGGAACAAAACTGCTATTTTAAGGTCCCAAAACCACAACACTCCTCCCCTGAATCAGTTCTCATTCATTGGCAATGGTATGTAACGTTCTGAAATCCATCTGGGATTAGAGTAAACACAAAGTTATGACTGGATATATTACTCTCTTCCTCTTCATTACCTTTTCCATCCTCTTCTGGATTGCGCATCACAGCTCTCAGTGTGTGGAAATAGCCACTTGCATCTTTGCATTTGTAGTGCAGTCGCATGCAGGAGAACTTTGGCTTACCAAAAAGAGTGGGTTCAGGACCTAAAGACCCAAATGAATTATGTATAAAATCACATATTTCATATCATATTCACTTTCTCTTCCAGATCTTCACAGGACCAACACATACTCATCAGTAAGGTATTTAGCATATTTTCTTCATAATGTAAACCAGAGCACACAAAACACAAGCTTATCATAACTATTTGGTTTGATGAAGACAGAAATAAGAATCATTTGACCACCTCTTAAAAGAAATAGCATTTTTGTCCCCTATGATTTGGATACCCAAAAACCCATGGCCATTAAGTCAATTCCAACACGTAGCAACCCTACAGAACAGAGAAGAAATACTTCATAGGGTTTCCAAGACTGTATATCCTTATGGAAACAGACTGCAACATCTTTCCCCCTCAAAGTGGTTGGTGGAATTGAACCTCCAACCTTTCAGTTAGCAGCTGAACACTTAACCAGGGCTCCTTAATGACCTGGATAAAACGCATCGCGAATGAGTCAACTCCAACTCACAGCAACCCCTGTTGGGTTTACGAGGCTGTAAATCTTTACAGAAGTAGATTACCCCATCTTCCTTCCAGAGTGCCTGGTGGGTTTGAACTGCTGACTTTCGGGTTAGCAGTCAAATGCCTTATCTACTACTCCACCAGAGCTCCTTATGACTTGTATATTACACTAACATTTACCTATTTCTATTTTCTCCAGGTCTTCTAGACTTAGTCGTTGATATTGGTTGACTTTATCAACTTCATCATCATAACTACATAAAAAGAAAGGGAGTAAAAAGAAGATTTAAAATCAAAAGCATATTTGGCTTGTCAGCCGAGATATAATAGGAACAAAGTACTATGCATTTAAAATAACAAACTCTTCCACAGCATAACACATCCTGGAGTGGTTAAAGAGTTAAACACATATGAAAAATTTTAAAAGCTACATGAAACAAGAATATAATTTTATAGCTCATTAGCTAAAGGAAAATCAGCTTATAAACCTTACACTAAAATCAATTACAAGGCAAAAATAATTTGTTTTATAGAAAGTTTTTATAAAATGAAAACCTAAAAATCTAAAAGAAGGCAAAATATATACCCATATACAATGAAATCATGTATTTGTGAATAATACAGCAGGTAAATTTGATATCCAAACTCAAGAATGAAAAAAATCCATTAATCCATGCCAACAGATTCCTTCTCTAATAAATGACAGTTCACTAAGACAAAAAAGAAAGCGAGTATTTAATTAGAAAATAGTAATAAAAATAAAAACAATTCTAGTAAGGCTATGAGGACACAAGTGCTTGTGTCTTGCTGGTGGCATTGCTCAATGGCAGACTTTCTGGAGATTAATCTGATACCAAATCACAGAAATCATATAATTTATCATACCCTTGTAACTAAAGAAACACGTGCCACGTGCACATTATCTGCAAAGATAGTTGCATTATTCATAATTGCATAAAACCAGAAATAACTCAATGCCCAACGAGGGAAGAACATTTAACTATAGTATAGTAATAAAAACAATGATATGTGGCCCTTAACAGGAAAAATATGTAAGGTACTTCAAAAAAAACCAGGACATATGTAGGAAGTAATACTAAATGCTAAAAGAAAACACAGTACTACATGAACTGATTATAACGCTAAAATCACATTCTCAAACTAGTATCAAAGGAAGAGTAATTTATCAGTTATGTAAGATGTAAGGGTTCAATGTATTTTCATAAAATAGTAAAAGTAAATTCTTAAAATTTTTACTGTTACATAGTCTAAAAGAAAACTTAAGTTTTAAAAAAGGAACAAATTAAAAGCTTTAAATCAATAAGCAACTTACTAGGCCACGTAGTAGGCAGAGTTAGAAAGCAGTAACAGCACATCCACATCTCTGTGAGTAGCATCAATGAGGCTAAACAAACATGACACAGGGAATTAAATATTTTCATTTTCACCTGCATTTTTTCCTTACCAAGCACATTTCTACAGCAGCAGAGTCACGTATGATAAAAAGACTAGCCAGAGAAGAAAAAAGAAAATCAATAAGGGCTACTGAAAATTAAAAAAAATAACAACAGGACTTGGGAAGAGGGAGAAGAGAGGAGTATAAGGGAAGGGCTGGATTGGAAGGGGAACAGCCGAGGAGGAGGGAAGCCGCAGGGGGAATGGGGTAATGGGGTAGGGGAGAGAGAGACAGAGAGAGAGAGAGAGAGAGAGAGAGAGAGAGAGAATCAGAAGAAGGAAAAATCTATGGCAGAGGGAGAAATGAACTAGGCAATTCTCTCACATCTAAAACCTCCAAATACCAGTGCATATTTAGGGTATCTTCTCACTCCTTGTTTTGAGAGAAGCTCGCACAGATAACCTGTGCACACAACAGGGAACAAGCCCAAGCTGCTTCTGCATTTTTCTCACCACAGATTTATTTACTTGGCTTTCAAGAAACAGCTACACATTTCCTTATTCTAAATCCATTTTGCCACGTTTGTATCCACCCTAAAAATCAAGTATCAGAAAAAGGGTGAGAAATCAGGTAAATGCTGAGAACCATTAAACCAAAACTACAGCAAAATGTACACTCTTGTAAGATTACTACTAAGAAAACCCACCAATAATCAACAGGTAACACAGAATCTGAACTCAAAAGAAACTTTGAATCTAGTATCAGTAACAGCCTTTTCACCAAAAGGGGGGAATCAATCTGTGTTCCTGTATTTCCCCACAAATTCCCCTGGAAGAGTGTTCATTTCCGCCTTGGGCCGCAAACCAGAAGGCTGGCGGTTCAAACCCACCAGCGCTCCTCGGAAGGAAGATGGGGCAATCTACTTCCGTAGTGATACCGCCTCGGAAACCCAAGGAGGGTCGTTGTGAGTCGGGGCCAACTCGACGGCACATAACAACATCACAACGCTGCTGAAAGACCAACGGCAACGGGCGGAGCAGAAAGCACCTGTGGGCGGCGGGAAGGGCCTTAACCGGCTAAGAACGAGGTCTTTGTTCCTGGTGGCGCAGGGGGCATTTACCAAGCCCGGAAGAGTTTCTACAGCAGCAGCGTCCCGCTGCCGGGGAACTCTTCCTAACGCGGCCTTACTCTGTTACGACAAGTTGCCTCCGCGTTTTCACCTAAGATCACAGACCGAAAAACACAACGATGGGGCTGAGAGGCCAGGAACTGCTAACAGAGATCACTTCTAGGATCCAGTCCCGGGCACTATCTTCATCCGTCAGCGGGAAGGGAACGCCAACGACGCTACGTTCCTGGCAGCTTCCCGCCGGGAACCGAGCCCACCGCCGCCGAAGGGACTTCGGTCTGGCGCGCTGATACTTACGTGCTCTCTGCAGACCGATGCTTGAGCCAGGCCACGAAAATTACGTCACGACACATCATTTGGAACGAGATGATTAGATTCTACTCCTACTAATTAGTGTCACTTTCACCCTAGCTGCCTATTTGGGCATGAATATTTACATCAGTCAAACATGATCCTCAGCCAAAAACATTAAGTCCCTAACGAAAAGCACTTGGCACGTTAACAGGCGGTCGGAAAAAGTCAGCCCCCCTCCCCCCTCCCCATTTTTACTGAAGTCTCAGCCGCAGTAAACACTGATGTCCCCTCCCCATCCACCCTTCCCCGTTTGAAGAAAAAAAAATTGAACACGAACAAGAAAAAGACAACCCTTTGAGTCCTCCCCACCCCCGCCTGCAGCTCGCAAGAGCAGCTGCCCTACTGGTTTTTGTTTTCCCGCCACTGGGGCAAGCCTTCCTTCCACACTATGAAGACGAAGATGGCCAGCACCACATGAAGCCCCACCACTGCGACGATGGTCGCGTAAAAGGCGCTCTCTTCAGGGGACATTAACATGAGACTTTGGAAAAGGAGTAATTTACAGGAAAAATATAGCCCCACAGGAACTTTGACCATAAGTCCCGCAAAAAGGAGGAATATCTTGAAAGTCATCGCCAGCACGCCGTCAGACTTGGGCTCGGCGGGGCGCGGAGCCGCAGGCGGAGGCCTGTGGGAGCGTGGCATCTTGTCAGGCTGTCCGTAGGTCCGTCCGTCGATGCGTCGAAGCTCAGTCAGGAAGCCGCCCGCACCCTGCCTCACGCCTGCAGCTAATGCAGTGAATGCAGCAACTGCGATGCGACGCGGCAGCGCCAAGTCACGCCCAGGGGACACGGCTGGCTTCCGGCCGCCCACTTCCGGCCACGGCCGGCGGCCAATGCGCATGCGCGGCCCACCATACGCATCCTGCACACTGCGGAGGGCGTAGACCCCAGACCCAACGGGGAATGGTGCCAAGGTGGCCGCAGCCCGGGCGCCCCACCCTGCTCCTGCGAGAGCTCCGGGGGCTCAGGTCGGCAGCTGGGGCCTCATGGCTGCAAATCTATGCCCTGCACTGAGGCGAGCAGTGTGCGCAGCTGTACGCCTGCTGCTTACCTACAAGGGGTAGAAAAGTAGCTGGCGATATACTTTGAGCGTTTGAAACACTTGAGTCAGATAAAATAAAGCCCTGGCTGGGTGGTGATTCTGAAGGGCGCTTCTACAGTACACCTAACTTCCTTTCCAATTGAGGATGTCCTCCTTCTGGTCCACAGTGCACCAGGAGTGCACCGACACAATAGAAGTCAGCGATCTTCCTGTGGTGCCAGGCTGGAGTGGGGATGAGGGTAGAATGAGGAAGAGAAAGGGCATACAAAGGCCCGAGAGGTCCGGTCGACACGCCAGAGGCTATCTAAGGGGGAACAGGCTGAGCTGTGCCTAATATTTGAAAAGGAAAAAACAATGGGACCGCCTATTGGGACCTAAGGAACTCTGGTGGCGTAATGCCAAAAGCACTTGACTGCTTGCTAACCAGAAGGCTGGCGGTTCAAACCCAGCAGCCACTCCTCGGAAGGAAGGTTGGGCAATCAATCTACTTCTGTAGAGATACTGCCTCGGAAACCCAAGGAGGGGTCGCTTTGTGTTGGGATCGATTGGAGGGCGGTGAGTTTTGAGTATCGTGACCTAGGGCAGAAACCAAGCTCCTAGCGCGGCTCTGGTGTGGACAGTTCCCGTTGGAATGTGGGTGGTTAACCTGGCTTCTACTGTAGGAAGGAGTATTTGTAAGATGCCTGCCATAACTCTTCCTGCACCAGCTATTTTAAACAGGCCAGGACTGCAGTGAGGTGAGTGAGGGCACTGGCCTTGGGCACCAATTTAAGGGCGCACCAAAAACCTCTCACCAAGATAAGTAATTGTCAATGCCCTATTTTTTAAAATGAAATTCAATATAAAAAACTCATGAACAAAATACCAAAATTTTAAATAAAGGCAGAATCTGACCCTGCACTCACCCAGCTCTGCCTAACTCACAACACCCCAATACCAGCCAGTGAAAATATGAAACTTTATTTATAAAACAGAGCCCAACTCAATAACCAAAGGGTAATCCAATTTTAAAACCATGCAAAGGATGTGAACAGACACTGTTCCGAGAAGATAAAACAACTGGGCACAAGCCCATGATAAGACGCTTCCCATCGTGTCATTACCAAAACCATACCAACTGCTGTCAAATGGATTCCAACTCATAGGGACCCTGCAGGACAGAGGAGAACTGCTCCACAGAGTTTCCAAAGCTGAAATTGTTGTGGAAGCTGACTGCCACATCTTTCTCCGAAGGGGCAGCTAGTAAGATTGAACTACCAACTTTTCAGTTAGCAACTGAGCACTGAACCAATGCACTACCAGGGCTCCTTCACGTGTCATTCCAGAAACCAAAACCAAACTCACTGCTGTGGAGTCGGACCCAACTCATAGCGACCACTCCTTGGGTTTCCAAGGTGATATTGCTACAGAAGTCCATGGTTCAACTTTCCTTCCAAGGAGTGGCTGGTGGGTTTGAACCGCCAGCCTTCTGGTTATCAGTCAAGTGCCTTAGGCATTATGCCACCAGAGCTCCCTCATGTGTCGTTGTTGTTGTTGTTGTTGTTATGTGCCGTCGAGTCGGCCCCGACTCATAGCGACCCCTCCTTGGGTTTCCGAGGCAGTATCACTACAGAAGTAGGATGGCCCAACCTTCCTTCCGAGGAGTGGCTGGTGGGTTTGAACCGCCAGCCGTCTGGTTAGCAGGCAGGTGTCTTAGCCACTATGCTACCAGAGCTCCCATGTGTCATTAGGGAAGTGCAAATCAAAGTCACAAAGAGATACCATTTCACATCTATTAACATGGCTATTCAAGAAAACAAAATAGAAGATGCCAAGTGTTGGAGTGAGATGAAGCTGGAGCCCTCACACACTGCTGGTGGAAATGTAAAATGGTGCAGCTGCTGTAGGAAAGTCTGGCAGTTTCTCACAGATTAAACACAGAAATACTACCAAAAAAACCCCAACAACTGCCATCATGTTGAATGCAACTCAAAGCCATGCTACAGGACAGAGCAGAATTGCCCCGTAAGGTTTCAAAGGCTGTAAATCTTTATAGAAGCAGATTGCCTCATCTTTTTCCCGGGGTGGCTGGTGGGTTCAAACAACCAAACTTTTTGGTTAGCATTCGAGTGCTATAACCACTACATGACCAGAGCTCCTCGTGCAATGTCCAGAACAGGAAAATCCATAGAGCCAGAGAACATAGCATCATAAGGGAATGTGCTCATGTGGAACCTGTTCACAGATCAAGAGGCAATCACTGGAAAAGAACAAGGGGATACTGTGTACTTTAAACTGGAAAAGGTATGTGCAGGACTGTGTCCTTTCATCTCATTCAATCAGTATGCTGAACAAGTAATCTCTGAAACTGGGACAGGAAGAACACGGCCATCAGGACAGGAGAAAGACACATTAATAATCTACGATGCGTAGATGACACAACTGTGCTTGCCAAAAGTGAAGACGATTTGAAGCCCTCACTGATGACGGTCAAAGACTGTAGGTTTCATTAAGGAGCAGGCCTGAACAAGAAGTAAACCAAAATCCTCATAACTGGAACCAATCACCAACATCATGACGACTTAGAAGAGATTGGTATTGTCAAGCATTCCATTCTACTTGGGTCAACAATGTCTATGGAAGCAGCAATCAAGAAGTCAAACGAGGCGCTGCAAATCTGCTGCAGAAGGCCTCTGTAAAGTTTTAAAAAGCAAAGATGTCATTTTGATGACAAAAGTGTGCCTGAACCAAGCCATGGTCATTTCAGTCACTTCATAAGTATCTATGCAAAAGGCAGAGAGAAGAAGGAAGAAGAGATGCATGTAAATCAGGGTGTTGACAAAGAATACTGAGCTGCTGGGAGAGTGAACAAATCTGTGCTGGAAGAAGGACAGCCGCAATGTTCCTCGGAAATGAGGATGGCAGGGCTCCATCTCACGTGCTATGGGCGTGTCATCAGGAGAGACAGTCCCTGGAGAAGGCATGATGCTTACGAAAGCAGGTCAGCAAAACAGAGAAGACCCTCAAGGAAATGAATTGATACAGTGGCTGCAATAAGGGGGTCAGGTAGCCACAACTGTGAGGATGGCGCAGAACCGGGCTGTATTTTTTTCTGTTGTAAAAAGAGTTGCTATGTGTTGGAACCCACTGGATGGCACCTAACAACTACAGCAAATTAGTGGTTGCTTAGGGATGGGGGTGGAGAGGTGGGGATGATAGCTAAAGGGCTCAAGCTTTCTCTCTGTGGTAATGAAAATGTTCTAAACTGGACTGTGGTGATGCACACATATAACCAGTGAACTGTACACTTTAAATGGGTGAACTATATGGGATGTGAATTTTATCTTAAAAAGCTGCTTTAAAAAAATAAATAAAAAAGCTCACCCCAGGAGCAGATGGCTGAGACAGGCGGGTGGTGGCAGTTGGAGCCCCTGAAAACCAGGGGCCAAGTCTACCACTGGCCTGTCCCTAGATTCTGCCAGCTAGGTGTCTGGGGACCCAAGCCCCTGCAGTTTCTCCCAAAGCCACTTGTCATTGTCCTTAACCAGGTACTGCCCACTCTGGATCCACATTTCCCACTCAGCTGATGTACTAGACAAAGCCTCTATATTAAACTCAAATAGCCCAAGAGCAGGTTCCTAAACATCTCCCTTCAAGAGAAAGGGGAAACTGCCCATCATCAGAAAAGTCTTCCAGCCTTGGAAACGGAGAGAAAAACACCACTGGCAAATGTTGAGAACTGTCAGAGGTATCAGAAAGGAGGACCTACACAAGACTAAGTAGAGGCACTGATGAGAAGCGGCTTCGAAGGACTGCCTAATCAAGATGGAGGCCAGTTAAATTCACAGGGGCACAGAGTGCCATCAGAGAGGAATCTGTGTTCCAGCTTAACTTGTGGTGAAGGAAGAAGAGACTCTGCTCTTTTGGAAAGTGTTCCTCACCCATGCAGCCCAAATGGAGCCAACAAGCAGGAGAAGGATGCAGTGACTCTGCTATCCAGCCTGTGTTACTGATGGTAACTAACTCGTCTCCAGGAACTTCAATCTAAACAGATTTGCAGAAAACAATCACTGGCTCTGTTACCAGGATAAAAGGAGAATGAGGAGTAAAAGGGTTGAACACTGGAGAGGGATAGGAGTGAAAAATCAGATAGAAAGAGAAGCAGTGCACGTTATGTATGTTCACAAAGAAACGAGAGCATGGACCCATAATTGTATTTCTGAAGGAGGCATTTGGCAGCCGAGAACGTACTTAAGAGACTAGGGGATCTGACCACCCAACAGGGATTCCTTAGAGACCTGATCTTTGAAAAGTATTCCTGTTTCACCATTACTCTGGTACAATACAGTACCTTTAAATTTATGCTGTACCAATGAATCCAGTTGCCAGAAATGAGTCTGCTTATTTTCATATATCTTTTTCTTAAATACAAGCGGTTTCTACTGACTCTTAACAAGCATGCTTATCCAAATTTTGTGGCATGCTTTAAATAGCATGTTGTTGTTGTTGTTGTTATGTGCCGCTGAGTCGGACCCGACTCATAGCGACCCCTCCTTGAGTTTCTGAGGCAGTATCACTACAGAAGTAGATTGCCCAACCTTCCTTCTGAGGAGTGGCTGGTGGGTTTGAACCGCCAGCCTTCTGGTTAGCAGTCATATGTCTTAGGCACTATGCCACCAGAGCTCCTGAAATAGCATAGCTATACACATATTTTTAAATACCCTTTACCTAGGATACCCATTTTCCATAAGAATTTAGGACTGGGAATGAATTATCAGATGGTTTTTTTTTTTTTTTTTTTTTAAGTGACTTTTACCTCAGTTAACAGTGGGGGAAAAAACCTCAAAAAACTACAGCATATGAATTAAAAAATTTTCACCAAATGGCTTAAAAACACAGAAATTTTCTAAGTGAAAACCTCGTCTTATTTTCTCAAACTTAAACTCACTGCCATCAAGTTGATTCAGATAAAAATAGTGGCCCCCACTTACTTTCCAAGGCTATTGTATTAAATCTTTACAGAAGCAGACTGCCTTACCTTTCTTCTGCACAGTGGCTAGTGGGTTTGAACCACTGACCTTCTGGTTAGCAGCCAAATACCTTAATAAGGCATGTCTTGTTTTAAGAGTCTGCAAATTACATCCATCTATACAGTATTTACTATCAAAGCGAAACAACCTATGAGACTGAAGTTATGAAAGGTTCACACCAAGAGAGTCTCCATAGCTTTTACTTGCTATTTTCCATAGAATTGTGCATGGCTTCTGCTTCCCAACTATATATGATCAGATACAACCTGTCATTCACTTTAATATATATAAACACTACCTTGCATTTACTTGCTCTTTCAAGCTTGTTTTATGCTTTTATTAAAAACCCATGAAATGTATAAAAACAAGATCATATCTAAACAGCTTTATTCTCAGAGCTTGGTCTAGAATTTTCTGAAATGCTTCTGATTCATTATATAAAAGATTGTAAGCTTAGATTTCAGCATCAAAGCAAGCATTCAACCTGGTGGATAAATTTAGATTCTGCAGCTCATTAAGTTTTTGAGGCACCACTTGAAACTGAATGCTTTTTGTTTAAAAAATGTTAGGCATCAGCTGGCCTACTTTATTTTATTAAAAGCCAGGATCCCTTCAGATCAGATACAAGCAGCCAGCAGTGTTGCACCTCCGGCTGCTCTCAGTTATGGGCATCAGCACAGTACACCTAGCTTCCGAGGCGGGGACACGCTCCAGCAACAGGCCAGGACATGCCAATTTGCATTGTTTAAATTCAATACTATAGCAAAACATTATTTCCTATAGAGTTTTACAGCGCCCCCTTGAGGCGAGCACCTCATTCACCTCGCCTCAGCAGCAGCCCTGTGTTTGAAGACTGCCATGCACCACGCAGCCACGGCCACAGCTTTGTGGACAGCTAGCAATGTTGATCATGACAACTTAGCAGCACTGAAGGTAAAGCAGCTCACCTGGGATCACAGTCAATGAGGGCCCAGCCCCCATGGAACTTCTCGTCATCAGGCAGCAGTAACTTCATGTAACTCTGTAGAAGCTGGCTGATTAGCTCCTGGTGGCTTCTCTGATTTTCCTTATGCAAAGCTTCATGCTCCTTCTCCTTGGTAAATATGGAGTAAAGGTCTTCTGTGACAGGAATGCCTTGCATCAGATCTAGGGTGCAGTGTTAATAACCGTCATTATCTTAGCTCACAAAAACTAAAAAGAACTAAGACCTAAAACTGTAAAACGCTTAGAAGAAAATATAGGCGTCAATCTTCATGACCTTGGATTAAGCATAATTCATTAGATGTAACACCAAAAGCACAAGCAGCAGACCGAGCTAAACTGGACATCGCCCTCCTGGCGGAGGAGGTGGGTCAAACCTCTGTGAGTGCTCCCAAACCCATTCCTCTGAAGCTCTTTGGACCAATGAGACTAGAGAAGGTTTCTGGGAAAGGAGATGTGCCAAGCCCTGGTGCTACAAGGGGAGCAATAAACCCAGACTGCTATTGGCTGGCATCTGTCAACCTTGAAGAGAGTCAGCTTCTGGATTAGGATGAAGCAGCCACTTCTCACTGCCATCGAGTTGATTCCAACTCAGAGACTCTGTGGGGCAGAGCGGAACTGCCCCGTAGGGTTTCCAAGGCTGTAAGTCTTTACAGAAGTAGATGGCCTCCTCATTCTCCCGGGGAGCGGCTGGTGGGTTTCAACTGCCGACCTTTTCGATTAGCAGCCAAATGCTTTAACCACTATGGCACCAGGGCTTCTTTAGATCAACCAACAGAAACAAAATAGGTTTTTTTTCCCTTGGATAAACTGCAAAAATCCAATTTTGGGTCACAGCAGACACCCCATATGTGAGGCAAGCTACTTCTTCACAACAAACCAAAACTAAACCCAATGCTGTCAGGTGGATTCCAACTCACAGCAGCATTGTAGCATGGGTAGGACTGTCCCATAGGGTTTCCAAGGCTGTAATCTTTATGGAAGAAGACTGCCACATCTTTCTCCCGAGGAATGACTGGTGGGTTCAAACCACCAACCTTTCAGTTAGCAGATGAGCACTTAACTGGTGCACACCAGGGCTCCTTCGCTTACATTAGACTTGTTAAAGTGCTCACTGGTCTGTGCCTAGGCCCTACCATCCCATGTGTTAAAAGGAATGCAATGCAATGCACTGCAGTCAATTTGCATCCGACTCATAGCGACCCCTCCTTGGGTTTCCGAGGCAGTATCACTACGGAAGTAGATTGCCCAACCTTCTTTCCGAGGAGTGGCTGGAGGGTTTGATCTGCCAGCCTGATGGTTAGCAGTCAAGTGCCTTAGGCACTACGCTCCCAGGGACGATGATTCAGATTGTTACATTTGGTTCTAAGTCTGAACAGTCTGCATTTATTGTAATTCTCCAAGGTAATACTTTCATGGAAATTAAAACTATGCCAAGGCATTCATTCTACTGGGCAATCTACCCTCCACTTCCTCTTCTGAAAAATGACAAGTGTTGGTTAGGGTAATCTCTTACCCTGGATGTTACATCACATTCACGCTTGCAGATGAGGGTGGGGCTCATCCTTAGAACAGGTGACACATAGCCCACGGGGCTACAATCACCACAGGCATCTCTCAGCCTCAAACAATGGGAGAACAGGCAGAATATGGGGCTTTCAGTTGGTGAGGTTTTAGGGCATCCTATCTACCCCCAGCAGCCTCACCTCTGCTCTCTTTATGGGAGCAGCAAACTGACAAACCTGTACAGAACCAGGCAGTTTCTTTTGTTGTTCGGCCTAAAAGATGTGCAAACCCTAATCTTGTAAACATCTGATTTGTTGAGTCAGAGGCTCACTATAGGGACACAAATATATTACAAACCGTGAGTCTGTGAATGAAGCTGATTTCTGTAAACTGTTAGTCATGGAAAGAGTAACACATCTTAAGGAAGGTAAAGCATTTCTGTTTCTTACCTATGACGGCTTGCCTATACGCATCCTTAAATCGGTTCAGGTAGTATCTATTTGCCGAGTTTACTCCATCTTTCATCACACCTGCTAGCTTCCTTTCTCCCGTCCTTGTAAAATCACCCTGTCAAAGAAAAAGTCATTTTGACAACTTATTCAAACACAAGAATGCTCTCAAACCAATGGTGGGCTTTCAGTTCGGGACTAGAACTCTATAGGCTTCCAGGAACTATTATAATTTCCAAATGGTGTACTTAATTAAAATATCCACTAGTGTTTGACTCTGATCCAAGTGTATCAAATAATTAAACATGCTACTGCTGGTGTCACGTCTCCACAGCTAGATGATCTGTTAGGGCAAAGCCATTCTTACAATGTATAGACTTTCTAGTTTACATGTGAAGACCTATTGCATCACAAATACCAAACAACAGAACGATTTTCAAGCCTCAATAAAATATTCAATAAACACAGAATTCTGATGTGGGAAATCCTGGCCAATTCCCTAGAGTTTATTACAATGGGATTTAATCTGTGAGTGTGTGCACATACGTATGTGTAGAAGGTGAGCAAAGATTTAAACTGTTTTGTTTCCTCTGCACAACAAAGATGTCAAGGCAAGTCCCTGGAGAGGTAGTGCCTTAAACTTCAGGCAAGGAAGGTACTGTGTCTTTTGTCTCCATCCCAACACCACTATTTCTATCCAAGGCAATCTCAGAAAGAGGCCCTATGTTAAAACTGAGCATTTAGGAAGAACACACTGCCAATTAATTGGGTCATTCACAGAAAATATTAGTATAGTAGTACCTGACTTACAACGCCTTCAAGTTATGACGAACCACAGTAACAACCATCTGGGTGTTTTGTACATAGTATCGTTAGTAATGTCCACTACATACAATGTTAAAATATATCTGCACGTTTGTATGTAATGTTTCCAACCTCTAAATAAAGATTGGATTTATAAAGATACTGATAATAATGTTTGTTGTTGTTGTTATGTGCTGTCAAGTCGTACCGACTCATAGCGACCACTCCTTGGGTTTCCGAGGTGGTATCACTACGGAAGTAGATTGCCCAACCTTCCTTCTGAGGAGTGTCTGGTGGGTTTGAACTGCCAGCCTTCTGGTTAGCAGTCAACTACCTTAGGCACTATGCTACCAGAGCTCCTCTGATAATAATAAACACTAAAAAAAAAAAAAAAGAGGTATTCAACTAGGTCAGAACCAATTTATTTACAGCAGAGTTGTCAGAAGGGACCCCATTGTAAGGCAGGGACTACCTGTATAGCAAGAAGCATCTACCACAGGAGAGGGCATGGCTGGGTCAGTGGGAGAATTTTTACCTCTATGTGGGAGACCCAGTTTCTAGCCTCAGCCACCATGCACATCAAGTACAGTTCCCAACTGTCAGTGGACACCTGCCTGTCACTCTGATGCTACACGGGTTTCAGCAGAGCTTCCAGCACAAGGCAGACTAGGAAGAAAGGCCTGGCAATCTACTTCCCAAAATCAACGACATGTCAGAGACTCTGGACCACTCTAACCCACAACCAGCCATGAGGACGGCACAGGCCAGGCCAGTTCCGTCCACTGTGTACAGACTTGCCATGAGGTGGGGCCGACCTGCCAGCAGCTAACAGTACCAGCGTGTTCCAGGAGAGGACGGACGACTCCTAAAGAAGGCTGAAATAACAGTGTACCTACATTAAAATAAAAAAAACACCTTCTGCAAAAGCCAGAACCTGGTAAGGCGGAAGCCTGTCAGTGAAAAACATGCAATTGTTTTCCAGTAATAGTGAGAGAAAAGTGGTAAGACTGCACTCTGTCAAAGGCAGAAAACTTGTGAGACCTGGAAAAACAAGGCAGTCCTATCAAGTTCCAGCTCTCACAGGTTTCCCTGTATTTCCTTTGAAGCAATTAACTTATACAAGGACTTCTGAAGTCATTTCCCTTAATTAATAAAGAGCTTTTTGACATTTATCACTTAAACAAGAGATGCACTGTCTGCTGCTACCTGCTGAACCCTTGAGGGTACAATTGCCATATAAGAAGTATCTCCAAAGGAATTATGACCTTGAAGGAAAATGAGCATTTATAAATCTCATCTGAACTAACACAACCACTTCCATCGCCCGCGGAGGGAGCTTCTGGGGCACCAGGGGCTACTTTTTGACACGTACAGTTCTGTGGGCATCAGCACACGGAGATTAAGTAACTGGTCCCAGAGCCAGCAGGACCCAGAATGCGATTACAGGGAGAGGAGGCAAACTAACACACTGGGGTCAAATCCTGCCTTCGGACATGCTTTGTTTCATCTGAGCAAAGTTTTTAAAACTAATGAAATTTCACGTCAAATTCCAGACTTCCAGACTCCCTTGCAAAAGTGGAAGATCACAGTCTGTCTACCACTCTCAGTGGCAAAGCTGGTTTTAAAGCCCAGTCTGTGGAAGGTTGAAGTGGAAGGGGCCCTTCACAGACAGTTCCAGAACTTGAACAGATCAGCAGTCTTGATTAAAGTAGACATTCATCATAGAGACTTACTTGCCATTTTGTCCCTTCCTTTTGTTTTCTTTTAAGTAAACAGATAGCCAACCTCTTTATGGATGCTGAGTTCTTTAGCTCTGTTATTTTCGATTATGTTTTCTTCTAAGCATAACTCTCTCCCACAACTGGTTTCAGTTAAGAACTGTAATCTATGAAAGTAAACGACCCTGGGAAGAGGGACACTGAGTCTGGAGGAACCAGGTAAGAGAACAGATACATTCCTGGCCGTCCAAGGGATCTTCAACCCCCTTCCCATCTCCCTGTATAATCGTGCTCACCCCTTTGCTCAGGGAGACAGACATTTAGAGAAGGGATTCTGTCTGTCTCCTTGGGTATCGATACTCAGAGTAAACCTTCTGCTTTCCCACTTCAACCTGTTGTGACCATTGGCTCTTCACAACAGGAGGGAAGGATCTTGTTTTCCTACAAGTCTGGTCTGTGCCCTGTGGACGGCAGGCAAATGCTTGCTGTGTGTGTTCACCTTGAGGGCGGCTGTCCCAGCGTACTGTCTGCTAATGGAGTCACCGTTGTTGGCCCACATGATCTGGTAAATTCGATTGCACTTCACTGGCAGTGGCTGCTCTGGGGGCATCACGCCGAGTTTTTTCAGCTAAAATGAACACATGGGTAAATTAACTGCAGAGGAGCCAGGAGGCCACAGCATAAAATGTAAGCTACAGAAAAGGAAGTGGAATCACATGCAAGATTTTTATGTCTTTAAAAAAAGGAGTACTGTTTCCAGACTTTTTATTAATAAGGTGCTCCCTGAAAAACAGATTTTTATAGCTGGATTAAATATTTCCACTGTTCTGTGATTTTCAGTGCATAAGTTCATACTATTTATTATATTTCATCTTTGCTTTAAATTTGCATATGAAGTGAAACTAAATATCAAAAAAGCACACAGAAACAACAGTGACATTAAAAGCAGCAGAGCAGTAAATGTCCAGTAAACACAACCTCTGGGCCAGGCCCAGGATTCTAAGCACTTTTACGTAAATTATCTCATTTACTCCTCTTACCAACTCTACACAATCTTTACTCTTATGATCCCCATTTTAAAGATGAGGACAACTGAGGTTTGGAGGGCTTAAGTTCTTTGCAGTTAACACCTAGTATGTGGCAGAGCCAGGATGCGAAGCCAAGAAGCCGACTTGAAATCCTGGCGCTTAAACGTAACAACCTTGAACACCCTGTGCAGCAGCTCTCTCTGTGCGCGTGGGTCTCCGTGTGCCAGAAGCAACTTGAGAGCAGCCAACAGCAAGGTCCTTGCAAGTTACTACAGAAGGTGGGTTTGGAACTGAAGGAAAAATGCCCCACACAACACTGCCCAATACACTGTACTGGGGCTGACATTCACTCAATCTTGAAATAAGTACTCAACAAAATGCCATTTTATTCAACTTACTTTTAGTGAATTTGAGCTTTCTAAGTTTTATGGCAACAAAGATGTTTATATGCTATAAAACTCTCTTGGATAAAGATTCTGTGTGTGTGTGTGTGATTTGGGTGAAAATTTACAGTGCAAATTCACTTTCCATACAGCAGTTCACATACACTTTGTCTCATGACATTGACCACAATTTACCACAATGCAACATCTC